CTCTCTAAAAAATGAGTAAATAAATAAAATCTTTAAAAAAAATCAAAGCACATCACATCGCAGCGTGTACAGTGACCTGTTTGTACACACAATACTTTGTGTACCTCTGTGTTTTTACACACTTAGGAAGCAGCTAATAGGCTACTTCCAAAACAGGCTGTTCGGAGGCGAGATGAGCAGAGGTGGGAGAAAGAGTGCCTTTTACTTTCTGCTTTCTGTACTTGGCGGCGTTTATTTATTTTCTTGTCACAGTTTGAGAAGAGATGGCAGTGGCAAGGGTTGATGAAGAGCAGAGACAAGTGATGTGGTTCCACACTGTCCCAAGCAGGTTGGGAGACCCGGCAGCGGTGAAGCAGAGGGCCCCTAGCACTGGGCACTGCAGCGGGGGTCCCGCCGAGAGGGGGGAGGCTGATCCCTTGGCATGGCACCCCAGGGAGCTGGCAGCCAGACCGCTTCCCTACTTGGCAGGTTAGGCTCTTCAGAGTGACTTGAAAATTCATTGCCAAACACATTTCGTCAATGAAGTTACCCTTCTGACCTTAGTAATTACAATTTCTCATAGAGACGGTTGTATTTGGTTCCGGGTTAGCGACCTACAAATCGTGTCTGTGTTGTCCCCTAGAGAATCCAGCCTCAGCTCCCAGATGAAGATGGTGACCACAGTGACAAAGAAGATGAGCAGCCTCAAGTGGTGGTTTTAAAAAAGGGAGACCTGTCAGCTGAAGAAGTCATGAAAATTAAAGCAGAAATAAAGGCTGCCAAAGCAGGTAAGTCTGAGTGTAGTCGGTCTTTGTAACCATTTAAGGAGCCGGGAGTATGAAGTTACTTTATATAATAGTGTGGTATGTTTAAAGGAGGCAGTCCTAGGTTTAAACTTTGGCTTTCACATGTACCAGATGTGTGACCTTGAACAAGTTATTTCACCTCTCAACCTTGGTGACCTCATCTGTAAAATAGGAACAATAATTGTGCCTGCCTTATTGGGTTGTTATGAGGATAAGTGTGAATTTAAGTAAAAACATTTCGTTCCTTTAAAAAAATAGGTGGTTAGGTTCATAAACTAGTCACAGAGCTCTATGTAATTAGTGCCTGGAGTGTAGTATGCTATGTGGTATGTGTTTTATTATTTGTAACTATGTATTGCGTTGCTTTAGGGGAAATGGAGTTACAGTCATTTTTCAAAATAGTTAAAAACGCAGCCTTGCTGTAATTAATTTGGGACAACAGTGTTATGGAGCAGGTCAACAAGTTTTCACCAAGGGTCTGCGTGTAGCTGGTGGCAGTGGGAAGACCAAACTGAACCGAGTCCAGGTTTTCCTTAAATACAGTGTAAGGCGTTCTTGCCATGGGACTCTCTGATGAAGGCAAAACAGTGAGGAGAAAAAGGTTCTGAAACAAAAGGTTCTTTGTTTTTGCTGCAGACGAAGAACCAGCTTCAGCTGATGGAAGAATCATGTATCGAAAACCAGTCAAGCGTTCCCCAGATGAAAAATACTCAGGTTTAACAGCAAGCTCAAAAAAGAAAAAGACAAATGAAGATGAAACAAATAAGCAGGAACCAGTTAAAAAGAACTCACAAAAGCAAATCAAAAACAGTAGCCTCCTTTCTTTTGACAGTGACGATGAAAATTAGTAAGTATAAACATTTTGGGCTTAGTCTTTAGAAGCATATGGGGTGTTTTTAAAAATAATATTTTCTTATAAAGATAATACAAGTGCATTATAGAGAATTTAGAAAATGCAAAAAAAATTTAGTAAGATAAAAACTGTCTATTCATCAGTACTCCTTTGACTTTAAATGCTAAATCTGTAGACATTAACTCATACAGTATTAACACTTTGTTAATTCCCATCTGGGGTGTGTATGTATGTAAATTATAATTTTTAACAAAACTGAGATTATATTGTGTCCTCTATGCTGCTTCTCCCTTGACAATATATTTTGAGTATTTTTCCAGGTTAGTAATATTCAAACACCTGACATTAATGGCTACATTAATTTAATTTTGTAATTAAAAGATCCCTTATTGGATCTTTCTCATTAGCAAAACCCCACTTTGGGTGGAGGAGACAATAATGTGTCTAGTTAAGAACACTTCCCTGCCTCCCGCTCACAGTAGCCATTTGAGAGTTCCAGCAGGTTAAGAGATACAGGCAGGTCCTGTACAGGTAAGGATCTAATACAAACGATCTCGATACAAATTAGGGTCTATTGTATAACATTGTGACTGTCGGTAAAACTAAAAACAGAGAGATAAAAGTGAAGTCTGCTTAATAAAGCTACTAGGTTTTTTGATAAAAAAGGACAGATTTGGCAAGCGTGAACCTTTGTCCAGTTTCATTGAGAAATAGACATAAATCACTGTATAAGTTTAAGGCATACAGCATAATGGTTTCATTTATATCTATTGTGAAAAGTATTTGAATAGTTTTAAAGCTTTTGATGGTTACTTTCAAATTGCTTTGTAAAGAGGATTTTACCATTTTATGCTCTCCTCACCCGTGATTACAGCGCACCCGCCATGGGTTAGAACCAGTCTTTTAATTTCTGTCGACTTGATGTACTGAAATGGAGTTTACTAGTTCAATTTCATTGACATTTTCTTCGATTTACCAGGCAGACCAAGCTGTTCTTCATATTTAACAGACCATTTTGTATTTCTTTGTCCAATTAATTTTTTGATTTCCCATCAGTATACTCATATTTCTCTAATTTGTAAATTATGTAATCTATCAGTTCTTTTTGTTGTTGGTCTCTGTATCAGATAAAGAATCTTTGGATTACTTGGATTCTCTCATTGTTTTTATTTTTTACATTTTAAACTTTGTTCCCTCTGGAATTTATTTTGGTATATACCTTTTTTCTTGGATGATTAATTATTCTAGGACCTTATCTATTTCTCACTTGAAAGATCATCTGAATGGGAGACTTCTCCAGTTTGGGGGAGAAACACAAAAAAGCCAGAGCCTTTCAAGATCCTGCTTAACATCCTAACAATTTTCCTTATTACTGCGAGTCAGCCAGAACAATCACCGGCTGCAACCATCAGGAGTTACGAATTTCAGAGCATCCAGTCATGAATCTCGAACCACACCTGTCTCTCCCCCTTTTCAGAACTAGTGTAAAGAACACTCAAAAGTGACTCGTGTGAGTGGGCTGGGAGTCCTGAAATTGTCTCTCAGTTACATAGCCGCGGCCTGAAGGCATTCTGCAGTACTGTCCTTAAAGTACACTCGTTACATAAGCCAAGTATTTTCCTGGTCTGCGTCACTGCTGCATCTGCTCGTACCGACATCACACTGTTTTAATTACTGTGAATTTTAATGTCTTTACCTAGAGGTGGGAATCTTGAGGGTGGGAATTTTGTTTTATTTACCACAAGGTCCTCACAACCCAGAACAATACTGAGAATATTAAGAGGATTATAAATATAGTTAGAATGAATGAGACTGTTTCTCTGATGTGTTTATTTTGCTGGGGTGGTGGTTTGTGGCCATTGTTTTGTTTGTTAACAGACCAGTGGTTCTTGAAGGTGTGGGTCCTGGGCTGTTGGCTCAGCACACGTTGGGAACTTGAAAATGTGGCCTTGCCCAGTGAACCTGAAAGGGTTGGGTCAGGACCCAGAATTCTCTGTAACAGGCCGGCCAGGTGGTTCTGATGCTCACTCAAACTTGAGAAATGCTGACAAAAAAGCCTATTTATTAGAATCACAATAAGTGAAATAAAAATTTAAACAATAAGAAAGACCATTTAAAAGGTCTTAAATCTTTTTAAAAAATTTATTAATTGATTTTTAGAGAGGAGGGAGGAGAGAGAAAGACTGATTTGTTGTTTCACTCATTTATGCACTCATTGGTTGATTCTCCTATGTGCCCTGACTGGGGACCAAACCCGCAACCTAGTCATATACTGGGGCAACACTGAGCTACTCAGCCAGAACAGAAGGTCTTAAATCTTGAAATTTATCATATCGAAGTCTTTACCATAGGTAATATTTCTAACAATACAAGTGTAAGAGTTATCAGCCAGGAAGCACATGCTGTGATGAAAAACTGAGATACAGTGGCCTGTGAGATCTGCCGAGCAGCCTCAGTGTGAACTGTTCCTAAGAACAGTGGGCTCAGCTAACGGCAGGATTTGTTTTGCTGAGAAAGATGAATTTGGGGCCAGAGAAGATTTTACTCCCCCACTGCTCCTCAGGAAGGGAGCCTATGAGCAGGGCTAGACAGGTAGGCCAATAATGTGATCCCCGGGCGCAGGCAGGGATAGCAAAAAGAGGAGCCTGGAACATCCTGTGCCCGAAAGAAAGAAGGTTCGCAAAGAATGGGGGTGTGTCAAAAGGGCATAAGTGGGGGAGAAGGGGTAGGTCTTTAGAGAATGCTAATTACCAATGGCCAAATCTGAAATGAACAAGGAAATAAAAGCTAATAGTAGATTGCAACTCATAATAAAAATTCTTACAGCTATAAATCAACTATTAAACAAGTGTGAGAAAAGAGGAATGGTGGAAACAGAAAAATCACCACTTGGCAAATCCCACAGTAGTAAGTTGCAGTCTGGAGGGCAGCCTCCGAAGAGATAGGTCCCACGCCCTGGAACCTGTGCATGTTCTCTTCCATGGTGAAGTTTTTGCAGATGTGTTTAACTTAAAGCTCTTGAAATAAATAGGTAAAACTAGATTATCTAAGTGCCAGGAGGCCACAGATAGTGCCTCCCGCCACAGGGAGGTTAGACATAGAGAAGGCAATGTGAAGACAGGCAGAGACTGCAATGGTGTGGCTACAAGCCAAAGCGTGCCAGCAGCCACCAGAAGCTGGAAGAAACAAGGAACATCGTCTCCTGAATTCTTCAGAGGGACTGCAGCCTGACACACTCTGGCTCTGGAACTCAGAGAATGCATGTCTGTTCCTCTAAGCCACCAAGCTCGTGACAATAGGTTATAACAGCCGTAGGGAACAAATATGTAATGAGGTTGGACAGGTTTATCAAAAAGTGTAAAAAAAAAGTCAAAATTAGTAGCCCAAAATATTGAAAAGCAGAATATTTACAGTCTCAAAGTATCTCCCCTCAAGATACTTATTACAAAAGGGAAATTACTGGCTTCACAGTGGAGAAACCAGAGAGATGCCACCGTATCTGAAGGGTCAGAGGTACCATCACCAGTAATGTCATACTGCCATCATGAACGGATGATGCACTGAGAGGGGCTCATCGCTCCCGGAGCCCAGGATCCTTCTAGGGCCTTCCTGAGGCCCTTTTCCAGGATAGGCTTTTCAAGGGCACCCGTGTCTATACAGAAAAGCAAAATCCTGGGATGTGGTAATGGTGCAAGAATGTCAAGACTGTTTCTGAGAAAAAATACATTGAGAACCAAAAAAGAAAACTAATGCTGAGCTTTGCTTGTTTTTATTTGCCACATTTACACATATTTGGAACATCTATAATTCAACCAATTAATGGCAGTTCTTTATTATGTACAGCTCAGCTTATTCTCCAGACAATCCTAGCAACAATCCTCATTATTCTCTGGGGCAGGAGGGTGGGGACAACTGAGACTCAGGATAATGTCACGTACCTAGTAAGAGGCAGAGAAGGCATCAAACTCAAAGCTGTCTGGTACTGAGTCTATTTTTTCAATTTTCAGGACACTCTTTTGCTCAACATACAAAAATTCATCCCAACTGCAGACTGAGTCTTCAACTTTCAAGAATTCAGGGGAAAGTGGAGTTTTCACAGTGGTCTTTCCACACTGGTTATATCCCAAGGTTTATTCTCCAACGTGATGCTTCCAATGCCGAACAAGTGCTGAATGGTGCCTATAGCACCTCCCACACTTGACACATTCATAAGGTCTTTCTCCACTGTGAATCCTGTAATGTTCACTAAGGTGGGCTTGCTTGCGGAAAGGTTTTTCACTCGCGCTGCACTTACCAAGTTTCTCTCCAGTGTGAGCTCTCTCGTGTTCCACAAGGGAAGAGTTCTGCGTGAAGGCTTTACCACAGTTGTCACAAGTGTAGGGCTTCTCTCCTGAATGCATTCTCTGATGCTGCATGAGGCCTTCCCACAGTCCTTACACGTAAAAGGTTTACTTCCAGAGTGACTTGTCTGATGACGGACAAGGCATACGCTCTGACTGAAGGCTTTCCCACACTCATTGCGTTTATTCGGTTTCTCTCCATTGTGAATTCTCAGATGCTGGACGAGAATTGCTTTTGTTTGAAAGGCTTTCCCACATTCATTAGATTTATAAGGTTTCTCTCCCGTGTGAATCTTCAGATGTTGAGTAAGATTTGACTGTTTATGAAAATAGGTTCCATAAACACACAAGGCTTCTCCCCATGTGAATCCTCTGATGCTAAGAGATGATCTCTGAGTGAAGGATTTTCCACACGCAGTGCACTCTGAAAGTTTCTTCTGCGTGCTGAGTCTCCGATGTTTCATTGGCAGTGGGACCTGGCAAGAACTCATGTTAGGTTTAACACAATGGAGGGGTGTCTGTCCAGTAGGTTCAGGTTTACAAGAAACCATCTCTCAAATTCATGATAGTTACAAGGTACTTTCTCAAAGATGATTGTCATTAGAGCAACACTTGTCTCCTGGGAAAAGGCTGTATGGTGCTCTCAACCGTTCCTGCAGGATTTCCCCTCCTGTTCTTTGTTCCGCATGCCTCCTCAGTTTCTCCGACGTGAACCCTGATGACCAGGTGCCCTGCCTCTCCACATCTTCCTCCAGTCATTTACCACTGTGCCTTCTGGGTTGGTCTTCTCACCTGAAATGAAGTTCACAAGAGAAAACATCCTCTGTGCAGAACAGGGGCCTATGTGGAGAGTCTTCACTTTTATCCTCTTGTCAATAATAGAGAAAGAAGATCACAATGACCTGCGGGAAATATCAGAAGAGGTGACAGAAACAGATTAAGTAGTGACAGGTCTTGGGAAATCTGTGAGATTCCCTATAGTGATTGATTCCCATGCAGGAAAACTGAGGGAACCAAGTCACTGTCATCAGTGACTCTGGAAGCACAGAATTAAAGCAAGATTGAAATACTTAGATCACCCTAATGGCATCAAACTCTGACACCCTGGTGCCCCGAATAAAGGTGCACAGATCAGACAGTGAATGAATACTCAGGTCCCCCACTCACTCCAAAGCAAGCTTTTCCCAGGATGATGCTGGAAACACCAACACATTCTTATTCTGAGGCCATTTTTCATTTTAGTTTTCTCATTATGTTGCACATAAATATATCATCATTTACAAATGTTTAGATAATATGGAAGTATATGGGGTAAAAGAGTAATTTTTATAACTATCACTACCCCACCATACCCAAACAAACCCATTTCCTTCTCAGAGATTATCATTACTAAGTTTGGAGTATATTCTTTGAGTCTTTTTACTACACATTTTCAACACACACACAGCATTTCATTCTTACATAAATGAAATCATTCCATAGTTGCTGCTACACAATTTGCCATTTTTTCACTATGTGTCTTAGCGATCATGTCACGTTAGTACATATGGATCTTCTGGGCTGAGAACCAGCTGGTCCACACCAATGCACCTGTCTGCACAGATTGTTCACCGTCAGAGACTGATCCAACTGGCAGTCCCGCCCCGCCCTGGATCTTACACATATTGACTCTTTTGCCTGAACTTCTCTATCTGCTGTATAAATGCCCAGTATGGACACATAACCAAAACTCTAACCACACTTTTATTTCCCTTATTGCCCCCAAATAAAAATTTTTATCATATAAAGAATGCATGAAAATAAAATACCCAGGAATAAACCTAACCAAAGAGGTAAAAGACCTGTATGCAGAAAACTACACAACATTGAAGAAAGAAATCAAGGAAGACACAAACAAATGGAAACATATACCATGTTCATGGACTGGAAGAATTAACATCATCAAAATGTCCATACTACCCAAAGCAATTTACAGATTCAATGCAATACCTATTAAAGTACTAATGGCATATTTCACAGACATAGAACAAACTCTTCAAAAATTTATATGGAACCATAAATGACCCCGAATAGCGGCTGCAATTTTGAGAAAGAAGAACAAAGTAGGAGGGATCACAATACCTGATAACAAACTGTATTACAAGGCCACTGTAATCAAAACAGCCTGGTACTGGCATAAAAACAGGCACATGGGCCAGTGGAACAGCACAGAGAGCCCAGAAATCAACCCAACTCTCTACAGTCAATCAATATTTGACAAAGGGGGCAGCAACATAAAATGGAATAAAGATAGACTCTTCAACAATTATGTTGGGAGAACTGGACAGCTATATGCAAAAAAAATGAAACTTAAGCACCAACTTACACCATACACAAAAATAAATTCAAGGTGAATAAAAGACTTAAATATAAGCCGTGACACCATTAAAGTCCTAGAGGAGAACATAGGCAGGAAAATCTCAGATATTTCACACAGCAACATTTTTACTGATATGTCCCCTAGAACAAGGGACATAAAGGAAAGAATAAACAAATGGGATCTCATCAAAATAAAAAGCTTCTGCACAGTTAAAGAAAACAGTATTAAAATAAAAAGAGAATCAGCTGTATGGGAAAACATCTTTGCCAGTGATACCTCAGACAAGGGTTTAATCTCCAAAATATATAAAGAACTTACATGACTCCACTCTAACAAGACAAGCAACCCAATTAAAAAGTAGGCAAAGGACTTGAACAGACACTTCTCCAAGGAGGACATACAGAATATCCAGAGACACACGAAAAGATGCTCAATATCGCTAGCTGAAAGATGCAAATTAAAACTGCAATGAGATACCACTTTACACCAGTCAGAATGGCATCATAAACAAAGCAACAAACAACAAATGTTGGAGAGGTTGTGGAGGAAGGGGGCCCTAGGTCACTGTTGGTGGGATTTCAGACTGGTACAACCATTACGGAAAACAGTATGGAGTTTTCTAAGAAAACCAAAAATGGATCTGCCTTTTGACCCAGCAATTCCACTGCTAGGATTATATCCTAAGAACCCTCAAACACCAGTCCAAAAGAACCTATGCACCCCAATGTTCATAGCAGCACAATTTACAATAGCCAAATGTTGGAAGCAACCTAGGTGCCCATAAGTAAATGAATGGATAAAAAAAACTATGGTACACCCTGGCTGGTATAGGTCAGTAGATTGAGCGTGGGCTGGTGTCACCAGTTTGATTCCCAGTCTAGGCACATACTTGGGTTGTGGGCCAGGTTCCCAGTGGGGGACACATGAGAGGCAACCACACATTGATGTTTCTCTCCTTCCCTTCCCCTCTCGGGGGGAAAAAAACCATGGTACATTTATGCAATGGAATTCCTCCTACCCTTTGCAACAGCATGGATGGAACTGGAAAGCATTATGCTGAGTGAAATTGATCTCACCTTTAACAGGAACCTAAACAACAAAAAAGCAAGCAAAATATAACCAAAGACACTGAAATAGAGAACAGGCTGACAGTGACCAGAGAGGAGAGGGGAGGGAATTTCAGGCCCAATCTAGTACAGAAGCCACTGAACTCAAAATTCAAAGAGGGCAGGGCCACGGTAGAGGACAGTCAGAGAAGCCCTAGACTGAGTCAAGAGGTCTGGGTTCTAATCTCTACCACTAACTTGTTCAATGACCTGAAGCAAGTCACTCAATATCGACTGATTTTCTTATCTGTGAAAATAAATGGAAAAACCAGATATCTAAAGCTTCTTCTACTACCAACACTGTGATTCTTTGATTCTAAAAAACAGATGGAAAAAGAGCAAAAATCTCAAATCAAGACCTTCCAGTCCACCTTTGATTGACGCTGGACATCCCATTATTTTATCCGAAAGGTACAAACTGAGCCGCTGCTGTGGCCCAGCAAGGAGATCACCTGCTCTGAGAATGGGCCGAGCGGGCCGCAGGGGCCTCCCCAGCAGTTATCTTCCCGTCGGAGGTGGAGTTCAGCAAAATAAGACTGCCTCTGCGCGAAGCAGGAACTTCAGAAAGGGCAGGGGGCGTCTGCTGGGAGATGTTACGGACACCCCCCCTCCCCCGCCCCAAGAGGAAAGCTTTTAAGAACCCCTCTCTGACCAGAAAGAAACGAACACTGGGCCAAAAGGGAGGGGCCTGGTTTCCAGTCCAGTCCTCCCAATCCACTAGCACCTCCTACTGGATACTGCACAAAGCACTTTCAAACTCCTATTCAAAGTCTAACACTCAGGTCAAATGGAACCAGCCCTCTTCCTTGTGGAAACTTCTCAGAGTTTCAAGGCACTTCCCCCTCGGTGTGCTGAAAGAAAGGTCGTCTCCACTGTAGCACTTCCCACTCCGTTTCAACACCGATCATGATCAGTTTCCTCCATGAGCCTGAAGGACAAGGGTGGCATGGGCTCTGGGGAGCGTGTATTAGCTAAGTGGCCTTGGTAAGTTACTTAACCTTTCTGTGCTCCCGTGTCTTCAAAGTTAAGAGGCGATAACATACAGTACTCCATACAGTTGTGACAGCGCATAAGGGAGTAATTAGAAGAATACTGGCAGGTAGGCATTTCATAAATGCTGCCTGCTGTTAAATCATTACTGAGTCTGTATGTCTTCATACCTACTGTTACTTTTAGAGAATAAAAACTTAATGGAAGGAAGATGGTAACTCACATGTGGTATACTCATGCAACACACACCTTTGTGAAGCAGCAAAACAAGGACTAGCACTGCTTCTGGAAATCAGAGAAAGTCGTGCCCAGAGGTCTGCTCGCTCGATCAACTACATGCAGATGGAACCCCGGTCTCCAACTCCCAGGCCAGGGCTCTCCAGCAGCCTCATTGCTTCCTTCGCCAGAGGAGCTGGCCCCCTCTGTGGCCTTGTCTCCAAAGGGCCCTTGCTCGCACCGCAGGTGGTGCTGTGCCCCCCGCCCGGTGTCCAAGGGAAGCGCTGGGAGGTGGGGGTGGGGTTGGGGTGGGACTGCAACAGCCCAGCAAGGTGGATATGGCTCCACAGGGAGTCCCACTCACACCCCAAGGTCCCCTGAGGCCCAGCTGGGGTGACGTCACGTCACAGCCTGGGCTGCAGGTGATAGCCACAGCTGTCTGTTCTAGGAAGGCTGGGGTGGCTTCCTTTCTCTCAGTGGTTCCTCGGCAGCCCAGAGCCCGGCTCCAGAAAGTGCACAAACCCATCTCAACAGGCACCCTTCGCAGAAGGAAGCAGACGGGGCCCTGGTTGGTGTGGTTCAGTGGATTGAATGCCAGCCTGGTCCCCAGTAGAGGGTGGATGAGAGGCAACCAGGCAACCACACATTGATGTTTATGGAGGAAGCAGAAGGGAAGTAAGAGTGGGGGCCGGCCAGCTATGCTGTGTGCTTTGCTTCATATCCCTCTTCTGCAAAAGCAGGCACTGTGTACATACGTGAATAAATGTATGAGATGCAGCAGAGATGCATCAATTGAACGTAACCTGCTCAGCTTTCCAGATGTTTTCCCAAAATGGAGTCCATAACTTAGGACCTGAAATCAGGCGTGCAGATGCCACAGACTAACCATCTTCCCCTAAAAGAATACCCCTGCCCTGACCAGCGTGGCTCCATTGGTCAGCATTATTGCACAAAACTGAGCGGTCACCAGTTCAGTTCCCAGTCAGGGCACCTGCCTGCGTTGCAGGTTCAGTCCCCAGTTGAGGTGCTCACGAAAGGCAACTAATCAACATTACTCTGTCATGTGGATGTTTCTCTCCCTTTCTCCCTCTGTTCCCTCTCTAAAAATAAGTCAAATATTTAAAAGAATAAAAGAGCACCCTTTGTACAACTGTCAGCTGACTGGGGAACAACGCTGAGCTTGCCCATTACCAGTGGCAGGCTCAGTGCTCCACACAGGAAGTTCTCTGCAGCCCTAGTATCTCATGGGCCAGAGAACTGAGGCCTATTCGTATTTCCCAACAGGCCTTAAAGAATCTCTCAACCAGCAGACTCTGGGGTGTGGAAACTAGCCCTGGGTGTGGGGGGAAGGCACCCTAGGCAGAGCACAGAAACAGGGCTTAAGGCTAGGTGTCTGCTTTAGGTGGGAAGGAAGGTGGGATCATAATGCAAAGTCAACTTACTTCTTACCCTTACATGCAAGGTCTGATTTTGAGGGCCAGAAGCGTTCCTGATATAAAGTGAGCTCCTCCAATTCTTGGGAACAGGGAAGATTAGAGCCTTGAGTGGTCAATATGTTTGTGTCATATAATAGACACAAATAATGAGGCATCATGGAGCAGAGGTAACCAACAGGGAAATCTGAAGAAGTGAGAAAAAACACCGAAGTTTCCATTTCACTTAACACTTACTAGCTACATGACCTTCGCAAACCCAATCACCCGTTTTCCCTTCTGGTGTGAGGATCTAATGTGGCCTGATCTCCTGTGTCCTTCTGACACCATGAATTAAATTTCAACACACTGTGAATGAGCAACACATGCCAGTTGTCTGTTTCCAGAGCTCAGGGAAAGCCATGAGCTCAGAAAGTACTTCCACGGTGGGAATTCTAAGTTCAGCTGCTTTCTTGCAGGGCCAGCATCACTGGTCAGCTCCTGTTGACTTTACAGTGGTCCTGTCAACATAGGTGGTCCTATGCTTCTACATCTGCACGCAGTTCTCTTCCTGTTGACCCTGACACCAACATATCTGAAAGGATTCTGTTAAACTGTGGTAGGACATTTAAATGCCTCCTTTGTAGGGAAAACAAAACAAAACAAAACAAAACATTACAACATAATTCTTCTTCTGGGATCCTCTGCTTAATACAACCACATACTCTGTATCTTGCAGAAGGGTCCAGAACGATTGCTCCTTGCAAACAATTCATGGACACACCCAGGTATTCACCATACCACCTTTCTGCTGCTAACTGTAGACCTAAGTCACATGTTCTCATGGAGAAATGTCTGACTCAGTATTTTAGTTGAGGTCAAAGAAAAAAAACATGGGCCAGATGTGGGGCCTCCGATGTCCCCATCTAAGGGGACAGAGCCTTATTAGGAGAGCAACACAGGTTCCACAGTCGTCCTACAAAGACTGTCCAGAAGAAACGTGAAAGCTGGCCTACTGGGGCAAGAAACTTACAGACTGGTTAGAAAAAGGGAAAGTGTAGGCAATGAACTGGGAGGCTGGACTACAGCAAGAGCAGTGAGGGCGGCATCCAGATTTAGGAGAGGACATCAACAGGACGCAGTAGCTGACTGGATGTGAAGACTCGGGAAGGGGAAAGTCTGGGTAAGAGGGAAGTTCCAGGGTTCAGGGCCCAGCCGGAGGGACTGTGCACACAGCGGGCTGGCAACGGAGAGCAAATTACAAACAAGTGTTTGCAAGTAGGAGAATATGGAATGAGGACAGTGGAGCGACGCCGAGCTCCTTTCCTCCATCTCCTCGGGGGTGAAAATATACCAGTCTCTAATCCTGATCGCTAAAAACTGAAGAGTGGGGTCCATTTCATCCTGCAAAATCTTTTTTTTTTTTTGTAAAATCTTTCTAACAAGAACTCAGGACATCTTTTGCCTTTGTTTGACCTTTTCTTCCTCCAGAAACACTCCTTATCCTCTGTAATCTCTAATCTAGACTCCAAAAAGAAGAGTGTTAATTCTGTTAACTGCCACCACAGCAGGAATTTCCTATAGTTTCTGGTGGGCGAAGACTGTTTAAAATACGTTAACAAATAAATGTTTATTGAACACTTACTATGTGCCATCAATGAATTCTATAGTGTTATTTTTCATATTTGCGAAGTATAAATACATTGACATTTGCTTTCTATAGACTATTTCTTATAAGCATAAAATGTAAAGTTTTCATAGGGCTATATTTGCTACATTACAGTATTAATTTACTCAATTATAAATTGCCCTGTGCCAGGTTTTAAGAACACAGCCTCACAGCTGGAAAGAGAAAAGCATATTTCTTCACATTCCTGTTAATGGTAGTTAATGGCCCAAAGCAATGCTTACAAGACAGTTGCTCCTGGAAAGTCAATGCCAAGTTCCGAAAGATCAACCATTCCGAAATCAACTCACTTTCACTGTTTTTAATAACCACATTTTAAAAACTGTACTAAGCTTCAGAGCCTAGAAATGACTTCCTATCAAAGGCTATCCACAATCTTCTGGAGCAGAAGCTGTGGGTAGCAGGGGAGAAGATGAAAGGGAGTAAAGGAGAGGATAAAAACATGCCCTTTCTCAGAATAAAATACCTTAAGTCAGTGGCAACCCACGGTATCTTGTTTTTCAGGCAATCCTCCCTAGAACGCTTTCCAAATTTAGCCCAGGAGAAATGTTTCCCTAGATACTCCTAATCTGCAGGAAAAGGCAAATATCCAGGAATAAGACAGGCCTAATGCAAACACAAACACCAAAGATCTAACAAACCTGTTACAGCCACCGGTGGCATCATGAAACCCAGCTCTCCCAGCTACAGTGCTCAACATATTCTTAAAGTCTGGTGTAGCGGCCCCCAACTCCAGCCGAACCAAAAGGCTGTCTTCCTTCTTCACTAATGCTTTCGCCTCCCTAAAGGCAAAACAAAAACAAAAAACCCCCCGAGTCCCATTTTGTTTGGACACTGTGATTTCAAGGCCCCTCTCCCCTAGTCCCTGTGAACTTGTGATCCAGCCAAACTTACGAGGCAGGTGTACACCGCAGTCCAGGGAGGGGTGTGTCAATGCCTCCCTCCAACATGTGCAGATTTCCTGCTCGTGGTCTCTTCTGACCGCCAGCCTTGCACAGGCCATCTCCGTGCTCGGGTAAGCCACTAACGATCCAGGACACAAGCTGGGCCTCTCTCCAGGGCCCTCTGAGCAAACATGATGCCCTTCCACAAACTGGCATCATTCCAGAAGTCTCTCTTGACCTCCTCTTTCTTTCCCTAGCTCGAAAGGGTCAGGAAAGATCTCCCCAACCCTGATAAAAGCCTCTTTACCAATGTGTCTTAGAGATCAGCCCAGTTCTTGCCACATACCCCGCTACTGCCGAGCATGGACTGCCTTTCACCTGCCTCCATCCCCTCAGTGGGACCACTCACAGGCTGAGCAGCCTCCCCACAGCAGCACCGCTGGAGCTGCCTCAGACGTCTAGTGGCTGCTTAGCACGGCCTCAGATCTGTGGCCACCCTCACAATGAACGTTTGGAAAAGCACCTCGGCCTATGGGTCAGTGAATAGATGTGACAATTAGGGAATGTGCAGCAGGAGTGTAGTAAGGGAGACACAAGTACTAACTTATCAAATGGAATCTTGAGGTGCAAAGGTCACATGGGGGGAGAGGAGTGGCAAGCATCAAGGATTTACCGGAAATGCAAGAACTTCCTTGGTGCCCTGCACTCCCAGATGCCCACCTGGAGCAGGCTCTGCATTCTCCAAGCCCCGCATACATCTCTGAAATAGTCTTCTGAGTGCAGTATTCAGGACTCCTTCATCCTTCCCTCCAGCAACCCTGCAGGCCCCTCTGCCCACTGCCAAATTCCTACCCAGTTTTTTTGAGAAACTGCCATAACCTAAAGCCAGGTTCATTCGCCACCATGAAGCTTCTGATGTCTGAAAAGGACTGAACTATGTCTGAAGAATTTTCCACACTCGATGCATTCGTAAGGCTTCTCACCAGTGTGAATCCTGTAATGTTCACTAAGGTGTGCATACTTGCGGAAGGTTTTGTTGCACTCACTACACTTATAGAGTTTTTCACCAGTGTGAGTTCTATGATGTTCAGTAAGAGATGAGCTATGAGCAAAGGCTTTCCCACATTCTTGACATTCATAGGGCTTCTCTCCAGTATGAATTCTCATATGCTGAGTGAGGCAGGTATTCTGATTGAAGCCCTTCCCACACTCATTGCATTTATAGGGTTTTTCTCCAGTGTGACTTCTCTGATGCCGAACAAGGCAAACGCTCTGAATGAAGGCTTTACCACACTCGCTGCATTTGTAGGGTCTCTCCCCTGTGTGAATTCTCTGATGTTTAGTGAGTGGGGTGCTCTGAGTGAAAGCTTTGCCACATTCCTTACATTTATAAGGTTTCTCTCCAGTATGAATTCGCAGATGTTTAATAAGGGATGGACTCTGACAAAAAGCTTTGCCACATTCCTTACATGTATAGGGTTTCTCTCCAGTGTGAATTCTTTGGTGTTGAAGGAGGTTTGCCTTTGTTTGGAAAGTTTTCCCACATTCATCACATTTGTGGGGTTTCTCCCCCGTGTGAATTCTCTGATGTTGTGTGAGATTCGAGTGTTTGCGGAAAGAGGAGCCACATTCATTGCACAAATAAGGTTTCTCCCCAGTGTGAATTCTCTGATGATGAATGAGGTGTGCATTCTGGTTGAATGACTTCCCACACCAATCACATTTATAAGGTTTCTCCCCAGTGTGGATTCGCTGGTGTTCGGTGAGATGTGAATGATTGCGGAAGGAATTCCCACATTCACTACATTTATAAGGTTTCTCTCCAGTGTGGATTCTCTGGTGCTGGGTAAGAAATGATCGACATCGAAATGTTTTCCCGCACTGCTCACATCTGTACGGTTTCACCCCAGTGTGGATTCTCTGATGCTGAACAAGGAATGAACTGCGACTGAAAGCTTTCCCACACTCCTCACACGTGTAGGGTCTCTCTCCAGTATGGGTTCTCTGATGCTGGGTCAGGGATGAGCGCTGAGTGAAATGTTTGCCACATTCATTACATTGCCAAGACCTTTTCCGTGTGGAGAGGGTTGAACATTTACTCTGGTCTGAAATCTCATTGGCATGTATGCTACTTGTCTCCCACTGATGTAAACTCTCTTCTGTAGAAACCCTGAGATGTGTAACAAGGCTTGAGGTCAAAAGCAACCTTTTCTCAAAATTATATTCTTGGCTAATCATTGCAGGAAGAGCTTCCTTGTGGATGCAAGTTCTTCCCCTAAAACCTCCTTCCTGAAAAAGGCGGGGCTCAGGAACATCTCTGGGAGAGTTTTCCTTCATGCTCTCACGTGCGGATTTGTCATCCAATGCAGAATGCTGGGATTCGTCCCCTTGGAGTCTCTTTCCCACTGTCTCTGGTGAATCAACTTCAGAGACATCCTGTTCTGGAGCAGGCTTGTTCACCCAACCTGAAAGAAACCACCAGAATATCTCTCATGTGGGGCAAAGTGGAGGCCCCTGAAGTTCTGGGACCTAAGGTACAGGTCTCGGTAAGGACCAATAAATGCAAGTAGGGCAAGTAATTCAAAGCTGCAAGTGGTAGAGGAGATCTGCATCAAAATAACGTGTTCACCATTAGTGAGGAACCCCGTGGAAAGGGCAGCTATGGACGCCCAAAGAGTGAGAGAACCAGAGAACATGGAGATAAAGGGAGAGCAACAACCGCAGGCGAATGATCAGGGCAGGACAGAAAACACGGGCTGTTGACATTCAAAGAGTGGAGGGGAGTAGGAGAATGTAAAAGGGCAAATGCTGAAACCGAGAAGACAAAATGAGTATAGGGGGAAAGCTGACCCCAAGAGCGGCTCACCGCATCTGCCCCCGACATCCCGAGGGTGGGGGTGGTTTTGTCTCCTGAGCTTCATTCCGTTTCTCCCGGACAATTTCCAAAGCCCTGCTGTGTTTCCCACTGGTGGTTCCTTGCTCACTCACCTGGACAGACCTCTCTTCCAATTTCTCTCTCTTCAGCTCCTTGCATATTCAACACCCACAAATCTTCTTGATTTAGTTGTAGAACACCTCAAGGCTGGAAAACTGGGAGGCCTGCTCACAGGGGAAAAAAAGGTGGGTGATGGGATGTCACTGTCCCAGTAAACAGAAAAATGAGAAAGAGCTGTTTCCTAGGGAGACCAACAATTACTAGAGAGTCTGTCAGGTTAGCCATGTAACTGAATCAGCAAGAATCAGGGTCGGCTTACAGCCCTCTGGGTTCACAAACTCCATGTGTCAGCTCTCCAAGAAGTGACAACTAGACAGACTGACATATTAACAAACGTTCAAGTGCTCAATGAATGAGCAAGAATGTCATTTTTAAAAAGATTTTATTTATTTATCTTTAGAGGGGAAGGGAAGGAGAGAAGGAGAAAAACATCAATGTGTGGCTGCCTCTCATGCATCCCCTGCTGGGAACTGGCCTGCAACCCAGGCGTGTGCCTTGACTGGGAATCAAACCGTGATCCTTTGGTTCACAGGCCTATGCTCAATCCACTGAGCTACACCAGCCAGGGTAAGAATGCATTCTTAATGATAAAAATAACTAAGAAGTAGATGGGAATATTCATGTCAATTAGTACACTCTGTCCATTATACAATAATCTACAAGAAAATCAATAAAATCAAAAGTTGCACGGGCAAATGGCCTCAGAGCAAGGCTAATGGACTGAGCCTGATCCACCCACCTCCACTGCAGGCCAAGCACACAGACAAGACTGAGGGAACTCTACTCGACACAGTCCAGAGACACGCCAACGGTCCTGTCTTCTAAATGTCATATCAAACAGGTTTTCTTCAGGCACAGCTCAATATAAGAGTGTAGGCTACAGTTTAAATACTTTGTAAAATAATAGTAGAGTTTCTGGTGTTTAGACTATTGACATTATAAAAGTTTATCCAAAAATGTCTCTTCACATAACACTGACATATGAAGTAGGAGAGGCAGCATTATTTCAAGGAAGAGAAGACAGTTTTAGCATAACTGAGGTCTCGGAAAGCATGAAATAGGCTGTGCCTGCTGAACTGCATAAGGCTGGTCCTGTGCACTTCTCATGAAAGCCTACACTTCTTTTTAAATTATTTTTAGAGGCAGAGAGAAGGATAAAGAGAGAGAAACATCAATGTGTGGTTGCCTCTTACATGCCCCACCCCCCCGACTGAGGACCTGGCCTGCAATGCAGGTGTGTGTCCTGATCGGGAATCAAACCGGTTGCTTTGGTTCGCAGGTCAGCATTCAATCCAGAGTCATACTGGCCTTTTTTTTTTTTTTTTTTTAAGAGAGAGGGGAAGGGAAGGAGAAAGAGAGGGAGAGAAATATTAATGTGTGGTTGCCTCTCCCCGACACACTGGGGACCAGGCCCACAACCCAGGCAGGTGCCCTGACGAGGAATCGAATTGTGACCCTTTGGTTTACAGCCTGTGCTCAATCCACTGAGCTACACCAGCCAGTGCCGTTTTCACTATTTTTTTTAAGTTTATTTATTTATTTATTTATTTATTTATTTATTTATTTATTTATTTATTTATTATTAGAAAGAAGGGAAGGGAGGGAGAAAGAGAGGGAGAGAAACACTGATGTGTGAGAGGTCACATTGATCGGCTGCCTCTCACACACCCCTAACTGGGGACCTGGCCCAAAACCCAGGCATGTGCCCTGACTGGGAACTGAACCAGTGACCTTTCAGTTTGCAGGCCGGCACTCAGACCACTGAGCCCCACCATCCAGGGCCTGAAGGCCTGTACTTCCGTGTTGAGCTTTAGAAGTATAAGAGGATTCTATGTGGGATTTCCTGTTCCTCTTCCAAAGCAGGGACACAAAGTGGAGTGGGGTTTGGGTGTAAGCAGAGCTAGACACTGGAGAAAAAGTCAGACGTGCCCCTGCCTGCACGCAGCTTACAGTGTAGCTGGACAAAGACATTAAACCAGTAGTTACAAAATGGGAATTACACAAGTGGAAATACGGGGTGTTAGGGAATATAGAGCAGAGGGCACCTAATCTGTTTGGGAAAGGAAGCCTCCCTGAAAAAGAGATTAGTAGAAACTAGACACACGAGGAGGGAAAAGAATATACCAGAGATGAACAGAACTGATAAAAAGAATCAAGTTCAGTACTTTGGAAGAATGAAAAAGATTCAGTAAGTCAATGTATTAAGCACCAGAAATAGGACACGAAGCCCAAGTCGAGCAAAGGCCAGATCAAATACAACCCCGCAAACCCCTTTAAGGCATTTACCAAAATCCGGGCAAAAACCATAAAAAAATTAGAAAAGGTTTGAAAAAGATGTAATATTAGATTTCCTGTTTAAAGAAATACATTAGAACTTTTCTTGTCCATGAGAAAAAACATATATAAGGGGTGACAGTAGGGGAGGCCAGGTGAAAAGTGGAAGAGCCCCGGTAAGGGACTGGCCTGCCTACACAGACTGCTCTGTGTAAGTCTACACGGAGTCCACAGGGGTGGGTGAGTATTGGGGGGGGGGGGACGGCGGCGGGGAGAGGCAGAAATGCAGGGTAATTTGCTGGTTTTGGGGTGTGATGGCAGTGTGCCTGGGAACACTGGTTTGGGGAGGAAGAAACAAGTTTAGTTTTGAAGTATCCAAACAGAAAGCAGGTGTACGTATCTAGAATACAGGGGAGAAGTACGTGCTGAAAACTTGCATCTAGAGTTTGTGGCATAAAGTGAACAACTGAAATTCTGGAGTAATAGATCAAAATCATCAAAATCATCAAAAAAGGGTGTCTATGAAAACCTCAACAGTAAGTCTACACAGTTAAAAGGAAGATTAACTCTGGCTTTTGCTTTTACAGAGTCCTCATCCAGTAAGAGAAATAAGTAAAAGAATTTAACGTGATAAAATTGGCATGTATAATAATAAAAAATTGATTATTTATAAATTACACTGAGACTGTTGCTTAACTACCTGGAACAAACAGCTAGTGAGATTCCTACCTCATACCACAGTCTCAAAAAAATCTAAACCGATTAAAGGGTTAAATATTAAAAATAAAAAATAAAGTATGGACAAATGACTGATTTTAGGGTTAAAGTAGCCTTTTTTAAGCATCATGCATAAAAGCACAAACCACAAAGACAGACTGGATAAATCTGGCCCCAGAAAAGCAACAACCTCTATACTCAATATACAAATAAAACGAAAAGGCAAACAATCTAGGAAAAGTACTTCGATTTATACATCAAAGGGTAGATATATCTAATAGATAAAAGACTTATTAATGAGTAAGAAAAAGGTGAACTGACAGAGAAATAGTATGTACAACAATTATACCAACATTACAAAAGGCCAAAAAGCGTGTCAAAACGAAGTTCCATTTCAGTGGTAGTCAAACAAATGGAAACTGAAGGAATGAAGAATCAATTTTTATATCGCACTGCATATATATTTTTAATGTTAAAGTTCAAGACCGGCGAAAGTGCAGGGAAAGGAAGCTTCTCTCACGTCACCAGTAAAAACGTGCACGGGCACCACCTTTCCAGGGGAAACCTGGCAGTGTGCATCAGACCCTGAAGCCGCAGGCTCATGCGCAGTTGGGAGACAGTGATCATCCCTTTGTGGGACAGGAACCGAGAGGAGAACAGTCGTCACGTGTACTGCAGGTGATCCTCAAAGCCATCGGTATGGGTTATACAAATGCCTGTGTTGTTTGACCCAGGAATTCCACTGTTAGAACTTTTTCACAGAGAAGTAATTTCCCAGAGAGGAAAAAAAAATGAATCCTTTTGTTAACTGTTAAAAAAATAAATCCCCTGAAATGTGGGAAAACACGATTTTCTATTGACAGACACTGAGGCTTAGCAATTATGGCACTTCCATTTGGTAGAAATTATATGGACATCAAGAGTAAAAATAAAAATAGAAATATGGGAGCCACTGGAAAATACTGAATACTTATATGTAAATATGAAATATTCAGGATTTTAAAATTTCAAGTAAACCTAACATCATATATGTTAAAATGTGTATAAGATCAAGGAAAATTAATCATAAGTCACTACGGTGAATTATGAATGATAAAGAGAAACTATTATTAACACACAGATGTTTAAAACACCCACACACACCAAGGAAAGAAGGAAACCCACCAAAATGTCCACACACTAAAACTCCAGGACCTATAACAAGTGATTTTCCTTTGTCCTTCACAATCTTCTATATATTTCACTTTCCCTACAGTACACACACATTACTTTTATAGTCAGAGAAAGAATTATTTTGAAAATGACAGATCTTGCTCATGGATTTCAACAACCCCCCCCACCAAAAAAACCCCACCAGAAACAAAAACCAAAACGAAAGCCAGACCCAATGGCCCTGGTATTGGCCTCCCACTCAGGTGCACTGGGAGTCAGGAAATTTCGTTCCGTCACAGCCCATGTGAGTGGGCCCCCGTGAAAGGCTATCTGAAAAGGGTAACAAATTAGTACGCACGAGTCCTTCCAGCCTTGACATTCTGTGAACCCTTGATTAAATGAGCTGACGCATGTGAAACATCCTGACCATCTGTCACAAAGTAGGCACTCAGCAGCAGTTAAGAGTTATGCTGCCTGAGAGCAAAGCCTGTGGAGAGGAAAGACATCTTGCAGACAGTCACTCCCCTTAAACTGTGACCATCTGCACTGTCAGCAGTTTGTCACACTGGGAACTTCTTCTGTAAAGGGCTATAAAGTAAATATTTCAGTCTTCCTGGACCGCAAGGCCGTTCTCTGTCATTATTCAACTTTGCCTTTATAGTCTGAAAACAGAACTAGACAATATGTAAACAAAAGCTTAGCTGTTTCAATAAAACATTTTTTTACAGAAACAGGCATTACAAAAACAGGGACCAGACTGCTGACTCTCTGGTCTGTAAGTTCCCCAGAAAGAAATGTACAGGTGTTTCCACAAATGCCTACTACTATAGAACAATGTGATTGTTAGTGATTTTCAGAGGCTAAAAGGCTCTGTCTGAATCCAGATTTGGGGTGAGACGGGGATTATGATGAAGGGAAATAGGAAAGAAGCTTTTACTAGTCCCCTGTTAGAAGTGATAGGGAGCTGGCTGCCTCCTCATACCTTGCAAGCCTTCTTCCTGCTGCCCGCTCTCTAATTAGGTGAAGGGTTCTGGGCAAGGTAGGTGAGCTTTTTCAAAATTTGAAACACAATTCTTTCAATAAGACCACACTTAAGTGTGCTCTTCTCTGAAGCCTTTCTTGGATTTGTCAGTTTGCCAGCGTCGCATACCCAGGCTGCAGCTGCACGATGGATCTACCTCTTTTGTCGCTTTGGGTCACTTACAAGCAACTTGTCCTTGGAGAAGTTATCTATTCTCTGTACCTCAATTTCCTCGTCAAAAACTACAGATAATACGTTGTTGTGAAGATTAAACGAATTAGCACAACTGCTTTAAACAGGGCCTGTTAAGTGCTAAATATCAATACACGTAAAGTCGCAAAAACCTGCTCACGTGTCTGTATGTACCTTCCAACACTAGACTGAAAGCATCTTCTCATTTGGCAGGCTCCAACGTCACTCATTCCGTAACCCCGCCCCGGAATTCTGCGCAATCTTTGGCAAAAAAAAACAACACCTAAAAAACGGGAGAGTAAAATTTGACGGAAGACCCTAACGTCTGCGTAGGTGCTGTAACATACTGGCTGCCCGCTGAGCCTTGTAAACAAAGGAGACAGGGATCACAGGACAGCCCGACTTGAGATCAATGAACAGCCTCCGTATCCCTGGGAACTCGAGAAGCCAGCTCTCGACCCGCCCCACCCTCGCGCGTTTAGCTCTATTTGCCGTTTCTTAAGGGGACGAGGACCGTTTCTGAGCTGCAGGACTGACTGCGGGAAGTAGGTAGTATCCAGACCCAGACTCGGGATTTCGTTTCCTAACATTTACCCGCTCACTCGTCTCTCACTCAGCCATCCGTTCATTCACTCCATCTTCTCGGGCATCACCTCGGGGCCGAGCCCGCGAGGGCAGGGCCGAGATGGCCAGGAGTCCGCGTGCGCCGGCAGCACGAGTGGGAGGACCAGCCCTTATGCAGGCTTCCTTCCCCGAGCTGCTGCCGCTCCCTTCCCTCCCTGCCCCCCCCCCCCGCCGTCTGCTCACCTTGATGGGGGGGCCCTCGGGGCGGCGACTGCAGGCCCAGAGGCGCCAGACCCCGGGCGCAGGCCTCCCCGCCCCAGCCGGAAAAGCGGCGGCGCGGCCGGTAGTGCGTCACCGGAGGCCCCGCGCCCCTGCTCTCCACATCCCCCGCCCCACCCTCCGTGGGGGCCTCCAAAACACATCTTATTCCTGATGTGCCGTTAAGTATTACCTAGTTCCATTACAGTGACGACCTCGTCCCTTAGCTTAGAAAATATCCTGCTTTTGAAGTCCCGCTTCCTACGTCTAAGACCGTCACAGCAGTGGTTTTCTTCACTGCAGGAGCAGCAGCCTTGGCTTGGCTTATCAGTCGTTTATTTCGGCGGCCTCTTCGGGGAGCCAGCAGTCTACCCCACTGTCTTTGTCATCCGAGGCTACCATAACAAAATAACATCAACTGAATGGCTTAAGCGACATAATTTTACTTTCTTACAAATGACAAGGCCAGACACAAGACTCTGAATTCTTTGCTTCTAAAGTAATTAGCTGAACTTTTACATCCACTGACCAAGCTGGACAAAATGCTTGCTAACTTGAGTTGACAGACCTTTAGCTAAGCTTCTATGCTCCACACCCCTAAATTTTGACCTATCCTCAGCCTGACTGGCAATGGAATGTGGATGGCCCCTTCTGAGAATCAGCAACCCTCCTGTTAGCTCCAGATTGTCCCAGCTATGGGAATTAAAGGTGACATGGTACCTGCTTCCTGTATTAGCTGCCAGTTCCCAGGGCCCCCTCAGAAAACCTGCTTGCTTTGGGAAAGGGCTACAGGAAAAAAGCCAGAGGCTGTGGCCTCAGAATTGAGCCCCGAATTTCCATCTCAGCTGGGTGGCAGCAGCTCTTCACCTGTTCTGTCAGTCTCGTGGAGAATGAAGCTGGGGCTTGAGGCAGATGACCTGAGTGCAGCCTGTCACCCTTGCCCTTCAGCGGTGCCTGGCTCTGTAGAGGCAGCAGGGTCTCTGCAGACCCTCAATGCTTGGGAGGGTCTGCAGCCTCAGGAATTTGGAAGCAAGGAAAGCCCTACAGGTCCTTTCACCTTCGTATGTTTTTTAGTTGGCTCGCGACACAGTGGCAACGTACATCTTCAGTATTGTCCTTGTGCTCAGGAGACACCGACATTTGGGAGTCTCCCCAAGCTTGACTAAACTGTTGAGTAGGTGGAGATTTGTCTTCAGCAAGGGCTGACCTCAGTGATGATGGCGAAGAGAATGACAGATGTGTCTATGCCAAAGCTGGAGGGAGATATAAAGTACAGATAAGAGATCAGAGGATGCATGGAAAGAATGATAAGAATTGAGGGAGAAAAAGGTGGTAAATAAAAAGAGGAGGAAAGCCAAAGGGAAGAGAGGTAAGGGGAAGAATGTGTAAGAAGAAATGAGGAGAGAAAAAAAAGAGGAAAAGGAAAAAGACGAGAAAAAGGCATGACCTTTGTCCCACTGCTGCCACCTGCAGGCCCAGCCTACAAAGCCCATTTTCAGCACGGAATTATTTCCCCAAGTCCGGGCACCTTCAGTTCTCCAGAGCCCAGGTTGGTCTCAAGCTGCAGGTGGCTGTACGCATCTCTGAAGGAGCCCAGCTCAGTGTGGTGCAGCTTGGCTCAGAAACAAGAACGTGGACAAGGAGAGGCGCAAGCAGTGCGGGACTCTGGCCTGTTCCCTGTCCCAAATCAGGTCCAACCTGCCAGCCTCTTTGTTGGCTTCTGTGTGATTAATTGCCTTGCCCGCTGCCCCCTCCCCTCCCATGCCCCTCCCTCTTAGCTGCCTGCTACCTTCTTCTGTAGCCACATTAGGTGTACATATTCTGTAGACATGTAAATAGTGTGAAGTCTACAGTATCTGTATCACTTGCAGACATTTGGTCTCCACCACTGGAAACAGATGGCATTTTTCTATTTTCTCTATCTTTTGTTAGATTATGAGGACAAATCTGTGACTGAGGAGTTGGTTCCAAAACAGGAAGTATTAGGAAAAACAGAGCCAAAGAGTCACCTCCAGAGAACTTCAGAATGACCCCCGAGCATGCAGGATTGGAGGATTTGAAAATTGAGAAGACACTTAAAATTCATCACAGAAGTCCACCGCCAGGGCCCTGGCTCAGTCTCTTGCTGGGCAGCTCCAGAAAACCGGGAGGTGTCTTCCTCTTGGTGGTCCTCCCACTGAGAACCACCCGCTGAACTCAGGGGTGAGAGGGCAGGAGGCGGGTGGGACCCAACTCAGTCCTTACTGCACACTGAGCTCCAAATGGACCTACCTCAAAGCACTAGGTTAGTCAAAGGGCTCTCCCGTGGGAGCAGGTGTAGTCTTTAAGAGGGGAAGTCTTTGATTTCACGTTAAACTGCAAATATCCAAACAGCAAAAAATTAAAGTAAAAGGACGAACTGTAAACTGGGGTTATCATTTACAACACATGTGGCAGGTAAAAGAGTAATTTCTTTACTACAGTTTGTACAAATCAATTCTCAAACGGATTAACAGCCCAACAGAAAGACTGCTAAAGAGCATGAAAAAGCAATTCACAGAAAAAAAGGAAGCATACATGGCTTTTAAGCACGAGGCACGATAACCAGTTTCACTCACAACTGAACGCAAAACATGAGAGCATTTTTCATTTCTCAGGTCAGAAAACAATAGTTTTATAGAGAATTCAGGGAAATGGGCACTTTCATACACATAGTCATATGCAGTTTCTATCAAAATATCAAATGCAGTCACCTGTGTCAGTTTATCCTGCGAAGTGGCTCACACGCCCAGGAGAGTGTGCCAGGGCGTTCAGCATGGCACTGTTTATGACAAACAGCAAGGTGCAGAAAACCACCTGCACGCATCACGGCACATCCACACAACGGAAGACCACATGGCAGTGAAAACAAAGAATGAGGTAGATCTTATAGGCCAACATAGAACCATCTTCAAGACAAGTGAAAAGCAAGGTGTGGAGACAGTGTTGGGGGGGGGGTAGGGTGGGGTGTGCAGAATATTGTAAATGTGTGAACTATCTCTGGAAGGATCATCAAGATTTTTTTTACCATGGTTTTCTCTGGGTACCCGGGGCTGGCAGACTTACTCTTCACTTTTGCTTCTGTACTTGAGATGAGGGGGGGTGCCCAGAGGCGCACTGAGGAGGTGGCCTGGGAGAAGGGCGCAGGTCCGGCCTCAGTTATTCTAGCCCTGACTGAGGCTCTATAAACGGGACAAGAGAACCTCACTGAGATAAGGGACCTCCAGCACTTAGCACGGAGCCCAGCACACAGGAACCCCTCAACTGACTGCGTGGTTACAACCTACCTACTGGCTCGGGCTGCCTCCCCCACTCTCCTCCCAACACCACAGATGTGTTGGCCACTGCGAATGCACAGGGTGACCTTGAAGAAGCACAAAGACCCCCCTGGGCCCAGGGCTCTTCTGGCCTGGGCCAGCCCTGTTTGTCGCAGGTAACATCTCACTAGGGTGTGGAGGCCCGGATCTCTGGTGTGGGAGTTTGTGGACTGTCCCCCCGGCCCACTCCATCCATCCCTCATGACCCGCTACCACTCACTGGGTCAGAATCTCACGGTCCCTCTTGCACTCTGACAAAAGCCGCCTGTGTGGTCTCCAGGATTCTCCTCTCACAGCCCAGCCCCCACACTCCAAGAGAACTCACCGCTGTGTGTGGCCACAAGATTCCCTTTTATTAACCTGCTTCCCGGTCATAAAAGATTCAGGCTCAATGTAAAAAACACGCAGGCAAGGCAAGAAAGCCTAACCAGTGTCGACACCAGGCGCATTATTCCCTTCCAGTCTTTTTTTAAAATGATTTTATTTATTCATTTTTAGGGAGAGGGGAAGAGGAGAGAAATATCAATGTGCAGTTGCCTCAGTTGCCTCTCCCGCACCCCCTACTGGAGACCTGGTCCGAAACCCAGGCATGTGCCCTGACTAGGAATTGAACTGGTGACCCTTTGGTTTGCAGCCGGCGCTCAATCCACTGAGCTATGCCAGCCAGGGCTCCTGCCAGTCTTTTCTATGCTACAAAAAAGCAACAAGAAAACTCTCTTAGAAATTAAACTGATTACTGCCAAAATGAAAAATTCACTAGAAAGGTAGAGAAATAATCAAGGTGGTCTCACAGGAAATGGCACAAGGAAATGAAAATAATAGAGAAAGTAGTTGAGGATCAATCCAGAAGCTCTAACATTTGATTGACAGGAATTCCAGAAATAATAAAAAACAAAAAAAATCTGGAAAGGAGAAAATTGTCATATAAATAACACAAGAAAATTCCCAAGAGTAAGAGTACCTGAGTACTGAGAAAATCCCACTGAGAACATTAGAAAGTTGAGTACACCAAGAATACAGTGGGTACTTTACCGTTATTACTTATCCTCACCTGACGACATTTCTTATATATTGTAGAAAGAAAAGGAGAGAGGGAAACATCAATGTGAGAGAAAAACACTAATCAGTTGCCTCCAGTACATGCCCCGACTGGGGGTTGAACCTGTGACCTAGGTATGTGCCCTGACTGGGAATCAAACCTGCAACCTTTTGGTTCACAGGACAGTCCAGCCAGCTCAGCCACACCAGCCAGGGCAAAGTAGAGACTCCAAGAGCTTCTTGGCATTGGGGTGGGGGAACAGATCACAATAATACAACTACTATTTATTGTCAAAGAAACAGGAATAATATTGGAATCTGACATCCACAAACTTCTGAGAAAATTCTTCAATCAAGAATTCCAGAGCCAACCAAAGTGCCCAACAAGTGTGACAGCAGAGTTTTGGGTATATAAGCATTTAACAACTTTGCCTTCTGTGTGCTGTGTCTTGAGGCTGCGCTGCAGTAAAGTGAGGGAGTTAATGAAGAAAGAGGAAGATGGGAATTCAGGACACAACAGAGCCAGTGTAGCAACAGAACTGCAGGCAGGAAGACCCCAGGACAGACGAGAACAGGAGGCGCAGGGCTCAGGGTGGGAAATAGGGGAAAATGGGACTCAAGAGAGTAACTGGAGGGAGAATTTGAAACACACACACACACACACACTGAGGACACGCTAAAAGCAACCAGTACAAGAGGAAAAGCCAACTAGAACTTCAGTAAAAACACAAGTCTGGTCCAAAAAGGAAGTATAATCAAAGTAAGCTACTCAGACCTGCAGTGGACAACATTTGCAGTCACAATGACACTCCTGCCAGCTCTTTTCAGCTTTTAGAACAAATCAATAAACAAAGCATAAAGAGAGACTGCCTATGGTTACAGACCAGAAGTGAAGGGTCATCAGACCTGACACTGTCCCAGGGCAGAGGTGGAAAAGGGAAGGAGAGAGAGGGCAGGTGCACCCCCATCTAACACAATGGAACCGAGACACTGTTTACAGTTAGTACAATGAAAACTAAGTCTGTACGTATAATAAATAATTTATTTTTCCTGATTATAAAATTCTTGCTCCTTATAGGAGACATAGAAATTACTTTTTAAAAAGCTCTTTGATCACCCACAGGGCCTGGGGCCGAGCCTAATAAGGCCCGCCGTTCGCCCCCAGCAGGCTGTGAACACGCCACTCAACCACCTGGCCATCTGTGTATGTTTCTTTCAGGTCATTTATCTGCACTTTTTACCAGTGTATGTAACAGTATGAGGACTGTACTACATACACAATTTTCAGCCCAGATTGTTTCCGCTTGAAAGCACAGAGTAAAACTCTGGGCACGTATCATGTCACGCCCTCCTGTGTTTCTCGGTGCACTTCTAAGTACGTATGCCCTTGGCCATAGGCCCATAGAGGCATCCCAGAGATGGGGCTGGAAGCAAATCTGAAAAGAAACCTCCGTGGGCTAAGTAGGCGGGGGCCGGCGGGGGAGTGGCGGTGAGGAGGCAGAGGCAACAAAGGCGCGAGCACGAGCCTCCCGGCTGCAGTGAAAGGCCTGCAGGGAGCAGAGAGGAGGCTGGAAAGACACTATGACGATCTTAGGCAACAGTGCGAATAGAACCAGACGGTGTCCCACAGAAGACGCGAGGAAAGGGTTTGGCAGACCTTGTTTGCTCAGGCACCCTGGGTCTAGGACCGTGTCTGCCACAAGGGGAGTGCACAATAAACATTTCTGTAATGATCGTAAGTGTGATACACAGGAAGCCGGAATGCCTCCTGGGTTTCTAGCTGGGGGGGTTAATAATGCCACGATTTGCTGAGGGAGGGAATTCGGAAGTAACCTTTGTAGTCTCACCTGTTTTGAAATTGTCCCTGGTGATGACCGCAGCACACCCAGGTGAGCCTCGGGGCCTGGAGGATACGGGATTTGGCCTCAGGGAGCCAGGATGTCCCTAAAATGAGCACAGCACTGAATGGGCCACTGCATTTCTCAAGAGGACCCACAACCTCCATCAGATCCTCAAAGTGGCTGTGAGCCCAGAAAGGTCGGGCTCACTGGATGGAGTGGAAGGTGGAGAAGCGACAGGAGGGGGAGGACAACTGTCCGGGTGGGGAAGAGACCGGATGCAGAGCGCAGCAGCTCAGCTGTGCCCAGGCACACCTGTGCCCCATCCTAGAGCGACTCACGGCCAACCGTGCAGAGCACATGTGTGCTGAGGAAGCCTCTCCCACCACGTGCTCCCACAGCATGTATCCGACGTGTTACCACCTTCCTACCATGGGCTCCATGTCAATGCACATCAGCTGGGCTCCCTCAAGAGTGGGGACAAGCTTCCTCGCTCAGCCCCTGATGCCCTGATGACAGCTCTCGGTAACTTCAGATAACGAGGCTTCAGAGCTCCCACCCACTTCTCGTGAGACCTGCCGAAGGGAGACGACCCCGACCTGAGCAGACTCTGACGATGAGATACAGCCCCACCTCTCCTATTATAAAGTGTACAGACCCCTACTCCTCGCAGTCACAGGTCGGCTTCTCGTGCTCTCCCCTGCAAATGGGCTCCATGGTCTAGAGAACCCACTCCTGCCACCTATGATTAGGCAATGAGGTCCATGAGGGGTCACCACTAAGGTGCCCATCAACCCACAAGCAAGAGTGTGGCAGCCGTCCCTCCAGAGGCTCACATGTGGCCACCCACGACTACCACCAGCACTACCTGGGCTCCACTTCCAGGAACTGCTTGGGCAGAAGTGCCAAGTACCCTGGGGAAGCCTCACCCCCCACCCTGGGCCCTCCCAGGCTGACCCGGGTCACTAGTGGGAGAGCTGCTTTTTCGGGAAGTCCACCCTCTCCTCCATGGCCACAGCGCTGGATTCCCAGAGCACTTGCCGCCTCCCCAGGCCTCTGGCAGCACAGTCACCTGTGACCTAGCCCAGGAAGCCACAAGGAAGCTGCCTGGTGGCCAGCCCAGCAAAGTCAATACCAGGCCCTCGTCCTAAGTGGCTGCCACTGGCCACCAGACTTCCAGAGGCACTAGGCTCTTTGGAGCCCTTCCCCAACCCCTCCCTTCCTACTTCCTTCCCCTCCTCACCCACGCCACAGACTAGGTAGGCCCAGCAAGCAAGGAAACCAGGACTCAAATCAACAGTCTGGAACAAAAGGAAGAAATAAACATTCAGCCAGGACACAACAGAGAAACAAGAATTCAAAAAAAGGAGAGTCTGGGACTACTTCAGATATACCAACATCCAAATCACAGAGTTGCCAGGAGAAGAGGAAGAGCAAGAAACCGAAAACTTATTTGAAAAAATAATGAAAGAAAACTTCCCCAATTTGGTGAAGGAAACAGATATCTAAGTCCAGGAAGCTCAGAGAATTCCAAACAAGTTGGACCCCAAGAGGGACACGCCAAGACCCATCATAATTAAAATGCCAAAGGTTAAGGATAAAGAAAGAATCTTAAAAGCAGCAATAGAAAAGGAGAATTACCTATAAAGCATTCCTCATAAGATTATCAACTGACTTCTCAAAAGAAACTTTGCAGGCAAAAAGGGGCTGGCAAGAAGTATTCAAAGCCATGAAGAGCAAAAACCTGTATCTAAGATCACTCTATCCAGCAAGGCTATTATTTAGAATAGAAAGGCAGATAAAGTGCTTCCCAGATAAGGTCAAGTTAAAAGAGTTCATCATCATCAAGCCCTTATTATATGAAATGTTAAAGGGACTCAGCTAAGAAAAATATCAAAACTGTGAATAGTGGAAATGACAACAAAGTCAACAACTGTCAGCAACCGAACCTAACCCCCCCCCCAACAAAAGAACAAAAACAAACTAAGTGAACTAGAACAGGAACAGAATCATGGAAATGAAGATCACAGGGAGGGTTATCAGTTGGGAAGGGGGGAGAATGTGGGAAAGGGTACAGGGAATAAGAAGCATAATTGGCAGATACAAAATAGACGGGGGGAGGATAACAGTACTACAGGAAATGGAGAAGCCCAAGAACTTGTATGTACAACCCATGGACATGAACTAAGGGGAGCATTGCTGAAGGGAATGGGGGCACTGAGCAGAGGGGGGGCAAAGGAGAGAAAAGAAAGGGACAACTAGAATAGCATAATTAATAAAATATACTTAAAAAGAGAAAAAATGTAAAGAGCCCTCGGTGACGCGCAGTCCAGGCTGAAAACTGCTGCTTTACTGCAGCGTTGGGTCACGGGTTCCCAAATGTAGCTGCAGGGCACAATCACCCAGTGGCTCTGCTGAACCACGTGCGAATGGAACTCTTCTGCCAGTGAGTTACAATCACGCACGACTGAGTATGAGGATGAATATGCAACGTACAGCTAAACGCAGTCTACCTGTCCTAACGCTCACACACCCCAGGTGACAGCTCCCAGGAAAGTATACCATTAGCCTCTTGGTAAGTCAGCCTAACTTCACACCTGCTCTCCCTTTTTTGAGCTTCCTGATCATGCTGGGTTGGGGGGACTCTTCACTGGCTCCTATTCTAACAGACCCGTGGCGTCCTCTCTCCACTTCCACACGGGGCGGAAACAGTCACTGCCAGGGTTAGTGAGGACTTGGCCATTTCTGATTCTTACTATTGGATTTTGATTTTTGTGTTTGTGTCTGATTCAGGGTGGCATGGGGAAAGGAAGTTGCATGCGCTTTGACGAAAGACTGTAGCTGAAGGGGAAAAAGAGGAAATCAATAAGCTTTCTCGTGCATGCCTTCTGTATGTGAAAGTGCTCTGTAAATTACCAAACACCATGACGATTAACACTCAGTCTTGCAGAAATGAGAACGAGCAAGCTCGGGCCTTGTGCATGCGGAGTCGCCCCACACTGCCTATCACCAGGTACGGCATTCATGACAAGTGCTCTTGATGCTACCAGGCAGTGGTGGACGGACTCAGAGGTTAGGAGACTTACGCTCCAGTCTTAGATCTGCTGTCTGCTAGTCACACAGCTTAAGGCACACCTCAAAATCTGTCACCTCAGCTTCCCTACCTAAAAACGAGACCACATACCCCTTTCTCGGCTTCCCACAGGGTCTGGGCAGGGATTACAGGTGGCTGGACAAGCAGCATGGCAGAACCAAGAGAATCTGGATGTGGGTCTTAGACTGAATACAGGCGGTCACTTGTCACGTGGCCTTGCTTTAAATGACCACTCCCAGGTGAATGGGGCACACAGCTCGCTCAGTGCCACAAGGACTAAGGTAATGACCTCCACGAGGCACGAGGGGAGCGCTGGGTGTCTTGATGCTGTCCATACGTGAAGGTGCACCGACTAAGAATCAGCTCCATACAAATACAAGGCAAGGCTGCGCAGCTCCCCCTACTGCATAGTTTCATAAATCACTTCCCAAGAGTAAAGGCTCAGTGGCAACAGGTATCTTACCTTACACAGTTTCTTCATCCTTTCAAAAATTTCACATTTCAAAACCTCTGAACTGCTCAAAACACACACACACACCTCACGAACCCCACCCCACCCCTCCCTCTCCTCTCTTCCTTCTTTGGGCCCCTCAGAGTTAGAAGGGTCCCATTTTCCCTCCTAAAGACCATCCAGAAAGTGGGGATGTCGCCTAGACTGGGGAGAAAACACGGGCCTGCCTCCAGGCCAGCTTCTCCCGACTCCTCTCCCGGGAAAGGGCTGAGGGGAGCATCTCACCAGACAGACCACGGGAGCCAGGGTTATGGGGAGACGCACGAAGTGGCCCCAGTGCACCATCTCCATCCATCCTCAGGGGCTCGGCCATGCAGACTGGGAAACGGTGGGGAGAGGCTCAACTGGGCCCCCCACGGCTCTGCCACACGAGGGTCCACGAGGTATGGACGACGAGGGGAACAGCGGTTTTCTCGCTTTTGTCCATTTTAGGAGCAGTAGACAGTAAACGGGCTTATTAAAAATGCTTTGATTACCTAGGGAATGGAAAACTTATAAATATTCATAGGTGAGTTGCTGGAGAATTGCTACCCCAAGTGAAATTACCACTTTAAAAAAACAAAATTTAGCTTAAAATTACCTTTCCCCAAATGGGACCTTTATCACCTAGCCTCATAAGACCCATTTCTGGGAAAGCCACACTCTCTCATGGGCAAGGTCGCCGCTGAGGGGACAGCGAGAAACAAAGTCCTCGCTTGCTTGTGGGCACTTTGTTTCCATTTTCTGAACCTCTGCCCCTGAAATGCTTGTCTTTTGTGCTGTGCTCCCAAAAGATGTGATTTTCAAGGACAGAGCAGGCCTCCTTTTTACAAAGGAGGAAGGCGGCAGCAGAGGCGTCTGCACCCCGACCTGTCACTCGACCAGGTGGGTCCTGTGGTGCCGCATGAGGTGCGAGTTGGAGATGAAGGCGGCGCCGCACTTCTCACACTCGTAGGGCTTCTCCCCGGTGTGCGTCCGCTGGTGCACGGTGAGGCTCGACCTCTGCCGGAAGGCCTTGCCGCACTCACTGCACGTGTACGGCTTCTCCCCGTTATGGATTCTCTGATGAATGAGCAGGTAGGAGCTGCAGGTGAAGGCCTTCCCACACTCGTTACACACGTAAGGAAGGTCTCCACTGTGGATCCTCTGGTGCACGATAAGGCAAGAGAGCTGACTGAAGGCTTTCCCACACTCGCTGCAGTCATACGGTTTCTCTGCAGTGTGGATTCTCTGGTGCACAATCAGGTGTGAAAAACAACTGAAGGCCTTTCCACACTCTTTACACTCATATGGCTTCTCACCAGTATGGCTTCGCTGGTGCACAATAAGATTGGCGCTCTGGGTGAAGGCCTTGCCGCAGTCCCCACAGGCAAAGGGCTTCTCCCCGGTGTGGATTCTCTGGTGGACGATGAGGTTGGAGCTCCGAGTGAATGTCTTCCCACACTCATTACATTCATAGCACTTTTCCGTGATGTGGACCTTCTGGTGCCGAGCAAGCTGGGAGCTGTAACTGAAGGCTTTCTCACACTCACTGCACTTGAAGGTCTTCTCTAAGGAGTGGATTTTTTGGTGCACCGTCAGGTTGGAACTCTGAGTGAAGGCTTTCCCACACTTGGCACACACGTAGGGCTTCTGTCCAGTGTGGATTCGCTGGTGCACGACCAGGTTGGCGCTCTGAATGAAGGCCTTCCCACACTCGTGACACTCGAAGGGCTTCTCCCCAGTGTGGATTCGCTGGTGCACGACCAGGTTGGCGCTCTGGCTAAAGCCTTTCCCACACACGCTGCAGGTAAAAGGTTTCTGCCCCGGCTGGCTTTTCTGGCTTCTGACGGGGCCGGAACCAAGGCGGTATCTTTCCCTGGATTTCTGACATTTCTGGTCTTCCTCTTCTTTGAAGCTTTCAGGCATGTGACAGTCCTTCACGGCCACTTGTCTGAAGTCTTTCTTCTCCCTCTTGATTCTCTGCCTCTTTAACATGGTCCCCTTTCCACACCTTTCTCCTAACTCCAGTCCTTGAGAGGCAGCTTTCTGGGTTCTTCCTGGTATCAGGAAGGGTTTTTCTGCTTCATCACATATTTCAGTTTTTGGAACCAGTAACTGTGGGTTCTTGGTTTCGGCTCCTGAAACAACAAAAATACACGTCAGCTTCTGCTGACCTGGAGAAAGAACAGGATCATAACGTCTCAACGGTCAGGAAGCATGCGACCTCGGAGTCTGTGCAAGGGCCGATCAAAGGAAAGAACCCCCTCACACGTCACCTCTCCTCCACAGGCTCTTCTGCAGGTCCGTGACCTCCCACGCCCAGAGCGGAATCCCGATTCACAGCTTCCCTCGCCCTTCCCTTTACCTCCATTAGACACTTAACCCACTGCTTCTCACCAGGGTGGCCGGCCCCAGACAGGTCTCCTCCCAGCGGTCTGAGGCTTGAGTAGAGCAAGGGGACCCACCCGGAAGGACACCGTGTGTGCCCAGGCTCGTCTTCCCACCTCAGCCTCCCGGTGCAGATCCACTCACAACCCGCCAGCTCACTAGGGAGACCTCTACACGCGAGTGCAGATCGAGGCAACTTAGGCAATGGGCTTGAGGATGCTGGGTCTCAGAGAGAAGGTAAGCAGGGACAGAAAGGGCCACGCTGGACACCTTTGATGACGAGAGTGGCCCAAAGCCTCCTCAACACCGAGAGGCTGTGCAGCAGCGCAGGGTAAGAACACGAGTCCCGGAGCCAGACTGCATGGCTTCAAGTCCCTGCTCTGCCATGTACCAATCGCATGACTGGGGCTGGCAACTTCTCTGTGCCCCAGTTCCCTTGCCTCTGAAAAAAAGACAATATGGTATCTACCTCTCCAGACCAGGAGAGGAGGAACTGGGTTTCTCTATGTCAACTACCAAGAAGAGCCATGGAGCGAGAGAAGCGGCTCTGGGTCTGCGGTGACGTTCAGCCTGACCAGTGGTGCTCTCGTTGGGAGCCAGGAGGAAAGGCGGACCTTAGGGGATGGCACTTCCTGTGGTGACAGATGGCAGCACTAGAGGGACTGAAGGACAATGGGGTAAACACCTTAGCCCTAGTGTTGAGGAAACAGCCTAGCTTGCGTTAGAGAAAGCTGCCCTTCTGAGTTAAGTGTAAGACATGGTGTAGCCTGCTCCACTCTGCCAAACAACACCATGAGAACATCAAAACTTACTTTATTTAAAACTTTAAAAAAGATTTTACTTATTTATTTTTAGCAAGAGGGGATGGAGGGAGAAAGAGAGGGAGAGAAACATCAATGTGCGGTTGCCTCTCGTCCACCCCCAGCTGGGAACCTGGCTCACAACCCAGGCATGTGCCCTGACTGGGAATCAAACCAGTGACCCTTTTTCAGTTCACAGGCTGGCACTCAATCCACTGAGCCACACCAGCCAGGGCTGAAACTCCCTGAAGTTTTAGAACTCTGGCTAGTCTCTGGTTGCTCTACGTTGCTTCAGGACACTGATGGTGTCAACATGGGGTCCTGCAGTCAGGGACAGCTCTGCCTGTCTCCTCTCCAGCCCACTGCCCTTGACCGTGCAATGCACATGCACGCAGCCAGGGCCACACTCCACCAGGGCTGGCAGAGCAAACCCTTATGAACTGTCTGGGAATTAAAGAAAGCTCAGGAACACTACTCAAACAATAAGGAGAGTGGGACGAGGGTCAGCAGGGGTGGGGGCCAGCCCTCCCCACTGGCAGTGTCAGCTTGGAGGGGAGCAGCTGCACCACACAGCAACTGCCGGGGGGAGTCCAGCATCCACGGGACGCCCTACGGGCTCAGGCCAGGGGGACTCTCTACCCAGAGATGCGTGGCTATGACAGAGCAATACGGGGTGTGAGACAACGGCCCTGTCTGGGTGCCTGGTTAGAACTGTAGTAACATGAAATTCCATCGCGATCATTCAGGTAAGAAGGGCAGGGTCACGGGAAGGAAAGGCCTGAGTATGGGACGCAGCAGGGCCCCGAACGTGACAATAAAAAAGTCCGAAATGTTCATCTGTTTCTGGTTATGTCTACTCCGACTGTTCTCTCTCTCTTTTTTCAAAGCTGCTCCATTTTTCTTCCTGTAGTTTAACTGTTCTTATATTTTCCTACTTTCTCTCTCTACCTCTTTTCCCTACTGCCTCTCTTATTGCTCTCCTCTCCTGGTGCTAAAAGTTTTTAAAAATTTTAAGTGAACTATTCCAACTTTTCCCTTTAATAGTTCCATGTCTCTTCCACTTTTCTTTGGCTCATTACACTCTTGTTTCTGTTCTCTACTTTCTTTACCACCTACCTCACACCTTACTGTTCTCCCTTCTACGGCTCCTTCCCTACCTTTCCCACCTCCTTCTCTCCTCACCACTAACACTAGGGGGCCCACCCCCCACCAAGCAGGTTCGCCAACAGAACAAGCCCAGGAACCCGTCAGCTCATCGCCTCACTCCCTCCCCTGACCGCAGCCCCATCTTCCTTACTGTGAGACTCAGGAAGACATGAAAGATGAAGACCGGTGGGAACTACTGAACCAATCAGACCCAGTAACAGAAGCGTTCTTTGTGTCTGCATAATGCTGCACCTTAAAATTCTTACAGAAGCAGCAACAACGGCAGCTCACAAGGTCCTGCTGGAACTGCCCACTCATCTGCTCCGTCACGCACACAGACGAGGAGCAAGGGTCTTGGCAGGCACCCAGGGGAGCCAAAGCCAATCCTGTGTGCACAAGCTCAAACCAAAATAAAGGAAAAAAACCCTTTTCTTTCACTTTTTAATTAGCTGCTGACCATATCCTGAGATATGAAGAGTAATTTTTTTTAAAGATTTTATTTATTTATTTATCTTTAGAGGGGAAGAAGAGAGGGAGAGAAACATCAATGTATGGTTGCCTTTCGTGTATCCCCTGCTGGGAACTGGCCTGCAGGGAACTGGTCTGCAACCTAGGAATATGCCCTGACTGGGATGAAGAGTAATTTGATATACTGAATTTATAAGTCCAGTTCATTAGATTTACTAAAGACTTAGGTTTATCAAGATTTATAAGATTTATAAATCTGCCTGCTTAGATGCTAGAAATGTTTTAAAGAACTAGTATCAAATTTACAATTTAATATATTTTTTATTTGAGAAAATAAAAATAGATTGTTATGTAGGTGAAATTAAATGACAAAAAAAGTTTAAAATTTTTTAATTTATAAAACTTGAAGGTTATCTAACCATGAATTAAAGAAAAAGTACAAGTGTTCTCATGTTTATAAAAATATTTCTAGATGTATAAATTAACTAAAAATAAGGAATACTTAAAAGCTTCAAAACTTGATTTTAAATGTATCAACTTTAATAAATTCAATATTGTACAGCACTGTAGATAAACCCTCTCAGACCTCAGAACCCCAGTAACAGGTCAAAACCCCAGAGCACTTTGATGTGTCATGTGACTTTACATCAACATGAAACTTCCCCTTCACTCGTGTGGGGCTGAAGAAGGGCAGGCCTATCTTAGCAACCGCTCTTCCCCAGCACAGCCGCCCTGCCTGGTGCACAGGAAGCCAGCCCCCGAGAAGCCCAGCATCTCCTGAAGGAAGGCAGAACCCTCTCTCACAGAACAGGAAGTGCAGGTCCAGAGAACGAGCGACTGGCTCAAGGTCACGCAGTTATCAGAGGCGGAGGGGCAACTACCCTCGGGTCTCTCACTCCTCAGAGCTCAGCGTTCCCTCTACCACCTGCGGCTGGGGTAGTGCTGGCAGCACATGGAAGTAAGTCTCCACTGGGAACAGAGTCTCGGAGGAGGAGGCAGAGAAGGCACATGGAAGCCATTCCTGGTGGGTGAGTGCAGCTGTCGGGGTTAAGACTATGAAGCGGAGAATAAGTGGTACATGGGCGTGCGCCAATGAGAACAGAACAGAGAGCGGCAAGTGGGGAACAGAATCTGCGGAGAGTTTGGGCAATACGTAACAAGGGGAGAAGAAGGTGGAGATCCTCACCACACTGGTTTAGGGAAGTGACTTGCTTCGCAAATGCCTGAGCACCTGGCTATGGAGGAGAGTGGGTCCCACAGACTCAGGTTCTGCCCTGTGCCAGGCAGACTCACGAAACAAGTGCCAGAGGGGTCTCAGCACTTACCTGGGGTGGGGGGCCGCCTCCACAACACAGGACTCCAGGCGACCACTTCTCACCCACAGTTACAAGTCACTCTGCCAGTAAGCTTCTGCCACTGCTAGACAGACACACAGCACCTACTTCCCTTTCCTGAGTCCCAGCTTAGAGAACCGGGGGATATGCCATTGAACCCTCCATGAAGAGGGTTTTGAACACCACTACAGCTGACACAACTGCTCAAAACCTTCTAGAATTTGTACAAAGATCTAGGAATACAGAACACACCCCCAGGGCATTTTCTCAAAATCACCACAAAAGTTGAGCCCTGCTACCTTAGGTAGCTTTTCTTGCAGGCTCACCAACCTATGCTAAACACAGAGGACATGAAGAGGACATGTACCTACATGTGTGAGTAGATATGAAACCTGCTGCACAACAAATGTGAGGAAAAGGCGAATGTGAAGTTCACCTGTGTTTGTCTGGGGTCTTGCCTGTATGCAAAATAAGTCATTTCCTGAAACAAATGCACAGGCATCTTCCAGCATTCTGAATCAGGGGGCTGAACTTACCCAGAGAGGCCACGTTCCCATGAGTCTCCAGTACCTCGCTCCTGGCCAGATTCCCTAGTAACGAGTAGCCGCTGAGGGTTGCAGCAGCAGGCACCTCTTGTGTTGCCTTCAGGACTACCGCCATGTCCCAGAACATGTTCTGACCCTAGAGACAGGCAGGCACAGGTGCGTGTATGAGCCGATGGTCGCGGGGGCGGGTGGGAGTCAGGTATGATGACAGCTTTTGAGGATGAGAATGTAAGTACCTATTCCTGAAAACCATAAACAAACAACGCCCCCCCCCCCAATCACTGTTTTTTTTTTTAAGGAAAAGGAAGCCAGAGTCTTTCCTAATCCCCAAGATGAATTAGGCAGAAAAGCAAGCCTGCCACCTTCTTCCCTATCAGTCTGATCCCACTTCACTGTGCTCTCCGGCATCCAAACCGAAGTTGCCAGTGAATGCATGATAAGAGAGCACATGGAGACATTTTGCAGAGTAGAATTTTCTAAGATCTAAAGATCACAGATGATCATATTATTACAGGGAACCTCACCTGGCTAGTAACGCTAAGGGGTGTGTTTGGAAACGTAAGGACCACAAAGATCTAGGAAACTCAAATGGGCAGTGTATAGTGTACACTGTATAGTGTTCAGCCTCACCATTCAAAGTGTGGTCCACGGTTCAAAAGAATCACCACCACCTATGGGCTTGTGGGAAACGCAGAATCCCAACGCCACACCCTAGAACTCCTGAATCAGAACCTGCCCTTTAACAAGACCCTTCTGCAGAGGTTCCTATGCATACTGAAGTTTGAGAAATGCAGGTTAGAGTTCGCAAATCCTGACTAGAATCACCTAAAGAGTTTTTAAAACTACAAAAGTCTGGGTCCTCCTCCCCCACCCCCCTGCAGAGATGCTGATTTAACTGGAATGAGGTATGGCATGGACATCCAAGTTTTTAAAAATCTCCCCAGGTAACTAACCCTGTGCAGAGAAATTTGAGGACCCAGGTCGATCAAGTACTAAATGTCACACTAGTCAGAAGAGAATGCTCCTATCATACTCCAAAGGACTGAGGGCCAGGGCCCTAGCTAGAAACAAGACCCCAGGTGTGCAGGCGGAGGGCCAGGGCCCCGTCTGAAGCCACATGAGATCTCCAGTCCTTTCCTCCCTCGTTCCTTCCAGGCTGCTACTCACCTTTTCCTCCTGCTCTGCCACATCAAGGCCTTGCTGAGGACCCTCTCCAGGAGGCCAGACTGGCACGTTCTCAGAGAGCACTTGCTGGCTGGATGCCTGCCCTAGGAAGTTTCCCTCCTCTTCCTCCTCCTTTTTCACCGTCACTGGGCCCCAAGGGGCCAGGGCCATGGCCTCTCTCAAATCGGCAGTCATCTCCTCCGCTTGGCAGGGGAACTCCTAGCGCTGGGGGCTGCCCAGCAGAGGTCAAGCCCCATCTAATCTTTCAGTTTCAGGAGTCTCTTCTCAAGTTTCTTCCCGGGGCCAGGATGAGCACTGCCTACTGAGAAATCAGAAAACACCGTTAGCACTGAGCAGAGGTCTGCCTGGGGGCCACCGGGCCCACGGGCCAACCTCACCAGTGCCTGGACAGAGCGGCCCCTGCAGCAGGGGTCTACTCTACGCCTCCCTCACAGGATGAAAGGGGCTGGGTTATAAACATGTAGCTTGTTCCCGTGACAATTATATTACAAGTAGCTTTATATAACGTCTATTGATTTTTCCCATTATAAAATTAATACATTTTTATTATAAAAACTTGAAAAATACAGAGAATCATTAAAAAAAAATCAGCTCTGGTCCACCTCCAAAGAGATAACCACTGTGTATCGTAGAATATATTTCTTTTCTTTTAGAAGAGATTTCTTTTAAGGAAAACGTCCAACCACACTGAACATAATGACAAACTTTTTGTTTGTAACTGTGGGGAATTCTTCTTTTTTTCACAATTACCACCATGTTTGTTTGTTTTTAAGAAGGGACATTACACCCTGGCTGGTGAGGCTCGGTTGGTTGGAGCGTCATCCTGTACACTAAGAGACTGGGGTTCAATCCCCAGTCAGGGCACATATGGGAAGCAACCAATCAAGGTTTTCGTCTCACACTGATGTTTCTTTCATCCCTTTCTTCTCTAAAATCAATAAACATATTTAAACAATTTTTTTAAGTAAGGAGATCACAACCCAAAGATTTTAGTACCAAAGAGAAATAATAGAATGAACAAAAGAATCTCAAGCAAAAAACTGGGAGCCTGGACACCACCAACATGTCAGGGTGGTTATCCCTGGGCGGTGTGATTACAGGTGGCTTTGAGGTTCTTTCTGTTGAATTTTTACCTTCTCCATTTCTTCCAAATGTCCTGTGAGACTAAATATTATTCTTAAGATAAAAAAGATTTTTCATGTTGCCAGTCTTCACACTTTTCATTTTCACAGCTATACAACAACCTATGGTGTTAATTACAATCCTTACTGAACAAGGATCAAGTTACACAGAAATATACATAATTGAATATACGTCCTACACAACACCACACACACACACACACACAAAATAGTTATGTTTACTTAGTCATTTCCCTGCATTGCCATACATGTATGTACACCTTCACGGGTTTATTTTTCCAAAGCACGTTATATCACACATGTATAACCTTCAGCAATCTGCGCTGTTTGTGACTGAACTCAATTTCCCTATTTCACAACAGTTTAGTCATCTTAGATGCTCTGATATAAATGCACACAGAGCTCTCACATTCTGGCCTGGTACTCTCAACTACAACTATAATTTACCAAACCATCTTTTATTTATAAGCTATTGCTTTAGTAAAAGCAGTTTTAATTCTTTCCCATTATGTTCTTAATAATTAACGTTATTTTTTTTCTGTGAAAACAGAGTAAGAGGGATTATTGGTTGAAGGATTTTATGGTTCACTTGTATTGCCAAAGTGCTTTCTAAATAACCACAGCAAATCACACCGCCACCAACCTGACAGTACTTGTTTCTCAGAGACAAGCCAGCAGGTTTTTGTTTTAGAGAATTCTGGTGATAAAATTATCTTAATATGAGAAGAATGAGAAATGTCTATTCCCCTTAACATGCTTTACTGGGGGGAAAAACTGCTGCCCTGGACCAGTGATAACTCAGAGGGTCAGAGGATCATCCTAATTGTCAAGGTTGTGGGTTTGACGCCCCATCAGGGCACACGCAAGGATTAGCCCATGAATGCATGGATAAGTGGAACAACAAGTAGTGCGTTTTCCTCTCTCTCTAAATAATCAATCAATAAATTAAAAAATAAATACATGCTACATTTTACTAACTCCCCTTTCACTGCTACTGAAGTGTTCATATGATTTTTACAAGATGTTAACTTACTGGATACAATGCATTTTCTTGAGTCATGCAATACTTTGATTCCTGCAACAAATCTTCATTCTGTAAGCTTATTCTGTCCTTGACTGGCTGAATTTTACCAGGTAGAAAGACCCTTTCAACTCTTGTTTCACCCGGGAACACGCAAGTCTGGCTAAGTGAGTAATGTCATCAGATTGCTGGTCCCACTTAAATCGGCCTTCAGACCTAGACAGCACAGAGTCCCCCAGCAAGAACTTCCCCTCCACTGTCCTTTCTCTACTCCAAACGTGGCAGCCCACCCCCTCCACCAGGCCTCGCGCAGCCCCGTTCCCAGGGTAAGCCTGCCTCCTGGGAGGTTCGTGTAAAATGTGACCCAGGCCAGGATCTCCGCAGGCGGCAGCCGGGCTTCCGAAGTGGTGAGGCCAGCAGCCACCCTCGGACAGAACTGACCCACCCGGAGGAAGGACGCGCTGGCCCACTGCTGGGATGGCTAGTCCCCTGACCGCGACATTCGCGCCCACCCCCGCCAAGCCCGCTCACCGTGGGCCGCGGAGAGACCCAGCCGGTGCTCACGGGCTGGGGGGAACCAGGACTGCAAACCAGCACCTCTGCATCTAGCGGCGCGAGAACAATGACCGGACAGGAAGTGCCTCGGGATGGGCTTCCGGCTCTCCAAGTAGCCAGGCCGGCCTCTCTAGGAACCGCGGAGGTACTTTCCTTTCGCAGAGATACTTTCCTCTCGATGGGTGTCCACTAAAGCTCCGGGTCAAGGCTGGGAGCCAGAGCGCACAGCAAGAGAGTGCAGGTAGACTGTGGCCCTGGGCCTCAGCGAGGGGGGCATCCCCAGGCTGGGCAGGGGCAGTTAGACAAGACGAGTACCCAGGAGCCCGCGCCCACAAAGCATTCATCTGCAAAAAGCCCTGATAATTTTGCCCCAAATGTTTTATTTTCAAAATATCAAACGGCACAGAAAAATCGGAAGAAAGGTACAATGGATACCTGTATCCTCCATCTGGACTTAACAACCATCGCTTTCTCTCGTTTCCCTTATATTTTATAAATACTGAAAAACATTTTTTGAAAGTTGTAAACATCAAAACACTTCATTCCAAATACTTCAATATTCAATCACTTAATAGGAATATTCTCCAAACACCGCCATTACGGGTAAGAAAATTAACAATAATCCCCTAATATCCAGTTGTATTTAAATTTTCCCAACTGCCCTAAAATATGTATTTCATAATCTTGTTTTTCCAGATCAGTTTCACAGACTGCATCTGATTATCTCTTTAGACTGTTTTTAATTTTTATTTGGAAATTATAGGTTCGTAGGAAGTTGCAAAGATAAAATACCCTTCATCTAATTTCTCCCAACAGATCTATCTCTTATGATTATTAGAAAACCAGAAAATCAACATCGGTACAATGTGCGTGTACACTTGTCATTCTGTCACATGTATAGATTTGTGTAACCACTACTATCAACATAACAACTGTTCCAATACCACAAAGACCTCCCTCGTGCTACCGCTCCCTCCCCCCTGCTCCCTCCCACCATCCCCAACCCCTGACAACTGCTTTTTACCTCTGTAGTTTTGTCATTTTAGAAAATTATATGCATGAAACCATATTTGACTTTTTGAATCTCATTCAGCATAATTCTCTTGTGATTCACTTGAGTTGAGTGCCTGGAGGTACAGTAGATCATCCCGTTTTATTGCAAAGCAGGAAGTAGTTGTGGTACAGCCATACCAGTCTGTTACAACCACCTGCTGAAGGATATTTCAGTTACTTAAGAATTTTAATTATGAATAAAATTGCTATGAACAGTCATGTACAGGTTTTCATGTGAATATAAGTTTTCATTTCTCTGGAGGGTGATGCTCAGGAGGATAAATACTTGGAAGAAAACTGCCAAACTATTTTCCAGAATGGCGGTGCCATTTAACATTCCTGGCAAATGAGAGATCCAGTTTCTCCACATCCTTGCCAGCATTTGGTGTTAACACTATTTCTTAAAAAGCTATTTGTGGTTATTTTTAATTTGCATTTCCCTAATGGCTAATAACGCTGAATATCTTTTCATTTGCTTGTCATCTATACTTTGGTGAAGTGTCTATGATATTTGCTCATTTTCTAATTAAATCTATTTATGATTGAGTTTGGAGAATTCTTTATATAGTCTAGATACAAATCCTGTACGGATATATGACTTGTAAATATTTCTTCCCCTTCTGTAATGTCTTTAAATCCTCTTAAAAGAGCCTTTTAAGAAGCAAATCATTTTAATTTAATGAGACCCAAATTATCACTTTTTCCTTTTATAGAACATGTTTTTTACACAAATCTGAGTTTTTTGCTTAGACTTAGTTCATGATTTTTTATTTTATTTTTTTTGGCCTATGGACATCTAATTGCTCCAGCAGCATTTGCTGAAAAAGCCCTCATTTACCAACTTGATTTGGCATCTTTGTCAAAAATCAACTGGGCATTTGTGTGAGTCTACTCCTGGCTTATTAGCATCTTATGGCTCTTTAGTACCTTTTAGAAACAACCTCCTCATCCACTTTGTATACCTTTTACTGTTAAATTTATACATATATAAAAGCATGGAACAGTACGATGAACTCTCAGTACTCAAAAGATTATTACCCCTCCCCTTTCCATCATTGTATCTTTTTGAAGAATGCAGTTTTTTTATACAGTACCCCATGTTCTGAATTTTATCTTGAGGTGTCATTTATCTTGTTCTTCTACTCTTGTGTTTCCTGTAAGCTGGGATCCAAAAACCCTGAATTCAGGTTTTACTTTTGGCTTATTGGGTCACATGAGGTGGTACAGTACATGAGCTGTTTCAGCCTTAGTGATATTGCATTACCCAGAAAAGATTTTTAGAGGGGGGAAGGGCAGGAGAAAGGAAGAGAAACATAAATGTGAGAGGGAAACATCGATCATTTGCCTCTCACACATGCCCTGACCAGGGACCGAATCCGCAACCCAGGCATGTGCCCCCACAACAATCAAACCAGCAGCCCTTTGCTTGGCAGAATGACGCCCAGCTGAGCCACAAAGTTCAGGGTATTGCTGTTGCATTTTAACTGGTTAAGCGGTAAACACTAGCTTTCTCCATTGTCAAAGTACGTGATTCCTTTAGTAACCACATGACATAATCTGGAGTAACCCTCCTTCCGCAGCATGGATATAAAGCATTTTCATATTCAATACCTTGTAACAACTCGGTGAGGTAGGTGGTCTTCCTCCTGACTTATAGAGGAAGAAATCAGGCTCCGGGAAATAAAGACATTTGTCCAAGGGAAGCTGCAGCTTGACTCATAACCAGGTCATCACACTTTAAGCCGTGGGCTTCGGCCAGTTTCCACTCTTCAGTATCCTTCATTCTGATGAGGAACCAACTCTCACGAACTTTGGGGTTGAATGAATAATACTTATTACAATCAACACACTACTTTGACACTTACTAGCATTAGAAAACACAATCCTGATGTTAAGGTATTCATAGTCCAGCTGCAGACCTGAAGTTTGGAGAAGTACTACATAAGAGAACGACATAAAGTTACCAACTCAAGAATACAGGCTGAATTAGCTTCATAAATGTACAAAAGGGAACACGGAATGAATGGTTGGTTTGGGGAATAGTGGGCCTGACTGCCCAGAGGTGGGTTCTGAATTGGTTGAAGGAGAGCTTGAAGGGCTGGGCTCCGTGGAGAACCCATGCTGCTGAGTGCTGGGATTGAACACTGTTTCTGGAGTAACAGGCCATCTCGTGTCAGTCACGACGGAAAGGTGATCAGAACTGAGAACAGCGGTGGCAGGGATAATCAGCTCACGGGTGGGAGGTAAGGACTTTCCCCACGAGCAAGGGAAGTGATACGGGACTGTTCTTCCAATCTGACCCTCTACACCCACTAGGTTTCAAATTCAAAGGTTGGAAAGAAACTGTTTGCCTTGGTATCAGTGTTAGTGGCTGTATATACTATTTTTCCACAGTAAGCCAGGACTGGTACATAAAAACAAACTAGGCATATTATCTATGAATTCGCTTAAACATTTTTAAAGCTATATTTTTAAAGTCCTCTTAGAGTGCTCAATTCCAGTTAGCTGTCCACCACACTTCCCCTGCTATAAAAGTGAATACCTTTTGAGTTTCAGAGTCTGAACAAACATTACACTGTGCCATGTTCTAGATTACACCTCTTTTATCCAATTTCATTGACAAAATGATTTCACAAAGATCGCTTAGTCCTCCTAACCACCTGTGAGGTAGGCATCATGCCAGCGTCTGACCGACAGAGAAAGTGAAGCTGAATGAGTAACAATGCAGAGCTCGTGAGGGAAATCGCCGGGACCTACACCTCAGTCTTCTGATTCCAAGTCTAGTGCTCTTCTGACGTCGCTCTCCAACAGCAGACTTTTTAAAAAAATAAAGCCTCTTTGTTAATTGACTTTTCTTTTTTTAGAGGAAAGGGGAGACAGAGATTTTTGTTGTTTCAATTATTCACGCATTCGTGATTTTTGTATGTGCCCTGACCAGGGATGGAACCCCCAACCTTGGCACATCAGGATGATGCATTAACTAACTGAGCTACCTGGCCGGGGCCAACCCCAGACTCTGGCTCACCCATCTCCATGTCTGACAGGGCTCAGTCTACTATCTATACAGACTTACTGCAGCAGTGATTCTGTCTTTAAAATGTGTAGTGCACACATTTTCAGAAACGACTTCCACTTCTTAATACAGAGATATCTTTCCTATTGCTTACAATATCATTACTTCTTAATAAGCCATAAGCCCAATTTCTTTAGTCCTCAATTGCTCTAAGGCCTCTTTCTAGGTCCTAACAAATGTTCTGGAACAGAATATCCTTTAACTAAAATTTGGTTTGTTTTTGAAGTCTAGAATAACTTTCTTCCACATGCAACTTACTTGAATATAAAAGAGGCAATCACATTTTTTCCTATTGAGAACTAGATACTGTCATTTCTCCAGCAGCTACTTAAATAGGCAGAAATTGTATTCCCTTTTGTAAAAGGGACACTAGATTTTCCAAATCTCTATCTTGGGCTCAGCTCATTGGTATTGTGAGGCCAAGAGCATTCTTTCACGGCATGGACTTTTTGTTGAAGATGAAGGTTTGAAGTCTGATTGAATTCTTTTTCAGACTCATCACATTCACAGAGTTTTTCAACTGTATGAATTTTCTGATGCACAGTAAGGTTTTTTCTTTGCCTAAAAACTTTACTACAATCATTACACCCATATGGTTTCTCCCCTGTGTGGATTCTTTGGTGGCCAACTAAATTCCTCTTAGACGTGAAAGATTTACTACACTTCTCACACTCGTATGGCTTTTCCCCAGTGTGCATTCTCTGATGTACGACAAGATTTTTATTCTGACTGAAGTCTTTCCCACACTCACTACATTTATAAGGTTTCTCTCCAGTGTGGATTCTCTGATGTACCATAAGATTTCTACTAGAGGTAAGGACTTTTCTACATATATGACACTCGTAGGTTTTCTCCCCACTGTGAATTCTTTGATGTTCAATAAGATTTCTGTTGTATGTAAAGCCCTTCCCACACTCATTACATGCATAGGGCTTCTCGCCGGTGTGGATTCTCTGATGGGCTACAAGGTTTGAGCGGTAACTGAAGACTTTCCCACAGTCACTGCATTTGTAAGACTTTTCCCTTGTGTGAATCCTCTGATGTCCAATGAGGCTTTTCTTCAGAATGAAACATTTGCCACACTCATTACACTCATAGGGTTTCTCACCACTGTGGATTCTCTTATGCTCAATGAGGTTTCTGTTGGAACTGAAAGCTCTTCCACACTCACGGCACTCAAAGGGCTTCTCCCCTGTGTGGATTCTCCGATGCACCAGCAGGCTTGAATTGTAACTGAAAGCCTTCCCACAGTCCTCACATTTGTAGGCTTTTTCCTGTGTGTGAAGTTTCTGATGGACCATGAAACTCTTGCTCATAATAAAGGTTTTCCCACACTCTCGACATTCATAGGGCTTCTCCCCGTTGTGGAGTCTCTCGTGGTCAATCAGGTTTCTGTTAGAGCCAAAGACCTTGCCACAGTCTTTACATTCATAGAGATTCTCCCCAGTGTGGAACCTCTGATGTAAGATGAGGCTCTTTTTAAGAATGAAAACTTTCCCACATTCACTACATTCGTAGGGCTTCTCCCCGTTGTGGAGTCTCTGGTGGTCAAAGAGGTACGCACTCTGAGTGAAGGCTTTCCCACAGTCAGTGCACTTGTAGGGCTTCTCTCTGCTATGCATCCTCTTATGGTCAATGAGGTGTGACTTAGAACCGAAAACCTTCCCGCATTTTTTGCAGCCAAAGGTCTTCTTTTCCGTGTGCACTCTCTGGTGTAAAAGGAGGCTTTTGCTCCGAATGAAAACCTTCCCACACTCCTCACATTTGTATGGGTTCTCTGCACTGTGGAGTCGCTGGTGGTCGACCAGGTAAGTGGTCTGGGCGAAGGTTTTCCCACATTCGTCGCACCTGTGGGGTTTTTCCCCAGAGTGGATTCTCTGGTGCAAAATGAGGCTCTTCTTCAGGATGAAAGCTTTCTGACACTTGTTACATTTATAAGGTTCTTCGCCTTTGTGGAGCCTCTGATGGTCGATGAGGTAAGCATTCTGCGAGAAAACTTTCCCACACTCGTCACATTTATAGGGTCTCTCCCCGGAGTGGCGCCTCAGATGTATAATGAGGCCCGAGTGCCTGTAGAAGCCCTTTCCACACTCCTTGCACTTGTAAGGCTTCTCCCCGGTGTGGATTCTTTGATGGTTTAGAAGGTAAGCGCTTTGAGAGAAGGCTTTCCCGCATTCGTTACACTTATAAGGTTTCTCCCCTGAATGGTTCCGTAAATGCATGAGAAGGCTTGAGCGCTGAATAAAGCCTTTTCCACACTCCTTACATTTGTGAGGTTTCTCACCAGTGTGGATTCTCCGGTGGTTTATAAGATGGGAGATTTTATTGAAATGTTTACAACAAATGTCACATTTATAAATCTTCTTTCCTTCAGTACCCATTAAACTTTCAGAAAGAGCTGAACTTACAGTTAAGCTTTCTCCAAATTCCTTCCCCTTTTGGCCTCGTTTTTCCGGCAGAATCCTTTTTTTCTTGTCTCGGTCATGGAGGACGCCTTTCTTCAGTGTATCTCGTTCACTTGATCCTTTTTCCCACTGACTTGCCAAAACTTGCCATTCACACTCTTTCTCAAAATCAAGGACCTGGGGAATGCCTCCTTGAAGTCTTTTTGGTGTTCCTTTCTGGGAGTCTGCTCTCTGCGATGCACTTGACTTTGACGCCACCTCGTCATTCTCAGCCATGGTCTCCCATTCTGGCAAAAAGAATGAAAAACCCAAATGTTACCAAGTCCCTGTGTTGGTGAGAGCAAAGTCTTCTACCAAGCTGGAAGGACACACTTTTACATGCACGTAAAAAGAAGAAACTTTTCAGTAAGGGAAGGTACAAAGCAGAATGCTACACTGATGGACTGACACAGAACTCATTTGGAGCTACAGCTAACGCTCTGTCTTCAGGAAGCAGGTGGAAATATATAATTGATGTTGAAAAAGCAGATGCAAGGTGGAACGAGAAAGAGATCATGGGATCTTATACAGATGGTTCAGGCCTGAGGTCCAGAAAGGTGAATGGAACAGGAAGAATCATTTCTCTACAAAGAATAGTCATTTTATTTCCTTCTTGACAGGAAGATGGCAACTCTAAAAGAAAGACAATGTACCTAAGGACTCTGAAAGGCAATTTTTAATTTCAAAGAGTCAAGTGCATAAACACTTTTTAATTACTTGAAAGCAATTAACCTACAAGGAAAAAATCCATTAAAAGACAACTTAATGCTTAGAATTATGTATTAACTCCCACTACTCCTTTTAGAAATGGAAAATTTTAAATTATTTTCTCAAAAACATCAGGTATGGGTTAGCTCTGCTCACTTAGACATAAAAGATAAGAGAAATACTGAATGCAAAGAAAAATAGAGACAAGAAATTAAAAAATATGAAACTGTCTAGAAAACAAAGACCCTAAACTAGTTAATCTCCAAGATTCCTTTGTACTCTAATATTGTCAAATATCTAAAAATGTGAAATTCATTTTTTGCCCTGACCAGATAGCTCAATTGGTTAAAACATTCTCCAGATACACCAAGGTTGTGGGTTCTATCCCTGGTCAGGATATATACAAGTATCAACCGATGAACATAAATAAATGGAACAACATATCAATGTTTCTCTCTCTCCCTTCCTCTCTCTCTAAAATCAGTAATGAGATACTGCTTCAGACCCACCCGGATGGCTGTAATCAGAGAAAGACAGTAACAAGTGTTGGTGAAGATCTGGAGAAACCGGAACCTGCATGCAGTCGGTGAGAGTGTAAAATGGTGCAATAACTTTGCTAAACAGTTTGTCAGTTTTTCAACTGATTAAACATAAGAGTTACCATATAGCAATTCCATTCCTAAGTATACATACAAGAGAAATGAAAGCACACGTATGCACAAAAACTTGCACACAAATGTTCACGGCGGTGTTGTTCCCAATAGCCCAAAAGTGGAAGCAACCCAAAGGTCCAGCGACAGATGCACGATCAATCAGATGTGACATGTTCATACAAAGAAACAGCATATGCTCATAAAAAAGAAGTGAAGTATTAACATATGCTACAAATGGAGGGACCTTGAAAACACTATGCTGGGTAAGAGAAGTTAGTCACAGAGGACCATATATTATGTGACTCGATTTAGATGAAACGTCCAGAATACGCTATCCAGAGAGGCTGAAAGCAGCTCAGAGGTCGCCTGGGGAGAGGCTGGGGGCGGCGTTGGGTGGAACGGAGACGACTGCTGAAGGGTGCCAGCCGTCTCTGCAGGGGCCCTGAGGTGCTCTGACACGGATCGTCGTGATGGCTGCCCGACTCTGGGAGTTCACTGACAGCCACTGAGCTGCACCCTGCACATGGGGGCGCTGTGTGGCACCCACAGGGAGGCAAAGAGTAAGACGACCGATAAATACAAGAAAGATTTCAAGTATATTCATAATTAAAGGAATGAAAAATGAATGAAGGTAGTATTCGTCGCCTACCTAGCAAAGATTTTAAACACTGACCGAATCACAAGCACACGCAGGTAAAACGGGCCCCCCTGCTCTGTCCGTGGGAGTGCGAGCTGATACGCCCCTGACAGGAAGCGGTTCGGTAATGGCAGCAACACACAAAGTCTACAGAATGTTTGGCCCTCCATCACCACACTGAGATGCTAAGACATACAGTTTCATAAGTATAAAAATATACAGTGTAAGATACTATGGACAATGATATAATTTATTAATGTTGCTGGGTACAAAATTAACATATGAAAATTCAATACTTTCATATACGCAAACAACAGTCAATTAGAAAACATCAGAAGAGACTCCAATTGCAAGGAATCAATGTAACCAGAAACACACAGAGCTGGATGCACGGAGCTTTGAAACAGCCCCGGCGCATGTGAAGGCAGACTGAACAACTGGACGGCACGTAACGTTCTTGAATGGAAATTCAGCATCCTAAAGCTGTAAACGTAAACCGTGATACAGACAATGGAACACTATGCAGCCATTTAAACTGAGTGTATAACACTGTATTTCAGTCCAAATTCCATCAGTCCATTAGCTAATTACGCAGTCTTCCATATCTAGTTCTCCAAACAAAATCTCCTTTTTCCTTTATGGCCAGCACAGAGCTACCTCCCTCACGGCCCTGCCCAGGCCCGGGAATGGACCCGGCTGCAGTCACCTCCATTTCCGCCGAGAGCAGCGCAGGCCCCTCCCCTACAGCTGCTTCACTCTGCCTTATTTATTCCATGTCCGGCTCCGGGACCACAGGAAGCTGCTTAACAACAGAGCACGTCATTCCACAGTGTCATTGCATGATACATGTTTAATGTTTGCTAGAAACACAAATAACTAGTAAGTTTAAAAAACACTCTATTACTAATCAAAGAAACACAGCTGAGAATAGATATTGTGACTAAACAATTAGATAAGCAACAATTTAAAAGAATGGGGTTACTCGGCACCCAGGAAGGCAGAGGAAAGGAGCCTTCTTTGGCCCCCGCGGTTAGAGCCGGGAGGGCGGAGACCACTAGGGAAAGCAATGCGGCAGCATGAGCCAGAGCCTTCAAACAGCTCGAACACTTAGGCCTAGGAATTCTACTTCTAAAAATAACGAGAATAAAGAAAGGTTAGGCACAGAGACAGATGGTTATTACGAAAATTATCTAAAATAAGAAAATGGCTGACTGAATTATGGCAAATTAGGTAGCCAATATAGATAATATTTGCCAAGAATCTGTACTAGTATGAGTGAGGAGAACACAAGGAATACAGGTTTTAAAGATATACACACACACACTCAAACACACATTTGAATCAATGTAAAAACCCCTCAAATACACAGAAAACAACAGAAAGATAATACACCAACATTTTGATAGCTGTCTACAAATAGTGAGTTTAAGGAGGTTTTTCCCCTTCTTTCTAACATTCAGCTTTCCATAGTAAGTATATACTACTTTCATGATCAGAAAATAAACAAAGGCTGATGAAGTAAAGGCAGGAATCATGGGAAGAAAGGCTCCTTACCTAGAGAGGTCACGCTCCCATAGTTCTCCAGCATCACATCCCAGTACAAGGCCCTCTGGATCGGTCCCAGACACGCCCACTCCTCCACAGTGAAGCACACCGACACCTCTTCAAACAGTACCAGCTCCTGAAACAAGGGTGTGTGTGTGGTCATCCGCGCCCAGTGAGGTCAGGAGGTGGGCAAGGGGTAACAGGGAGTTAGAAGGAGGCCCCACGTGACATCTGCTTTCCAAAAGCAAGGACCTTGACTTCGAGACGGGAACGGGACCAGGCTCTAAGATAGCAGAGGACACTTGAGCCATGCTTAAGTGGTATAGATCCATCCTTGGGAAGAAAAAGGGATGCAAATCTCACCTGGGGCTGGGCTGTTAGGAGCATGAGTGCCATTAATTGATTTCTTGGGTTCTCTTCCTGGAAAAGGGCAGAAGCCTCAGAGGCAGGAGCATCTGAGGAAAGAGGAAAAGCTGCACTGAGAGTTCTGCTTTCCTGCCCACTATTCCATGCCCAACATCTACAAACACGGAATTCAGAAAGACCCAGAACTCTCATGGCCAGGCAGGCTATGGTGGCTGTAAAATGACCTATGAACCTTTTTTGAGTGACCCCCTTTGTGCGGGGCTGGGAAAACACCTAGAGCATTAATAAGAATGGATAAAAGGTCGGGAACCCAGACAAGGGGAAGAGGGAGAACAGAAAGAGCTTGTCACCATGAGGAATTCTCATAGAGGGCAGGAGAGGAAGCAACTATCTGTGAGCAGACGGATAAACCACAGTAAGGATCCAAGAAAAAAAAGAAAACCCAAAGCCAGAGCTAGTGAGCGAGTACCATGCAGAGGATCCTGGAGGCTGACCACCGCTGGGTCAGCAGGAGGGTCTGGGCAAACTTTGGCTGCTGTGTGGCTCCCCGTGGGCACCTGAGGAAGTGCTGTTCCTGGAGAGCTCATGCCCCCCTGGAGAGGGTCCTGGTCCAGGATGAGGACCGGAACCTGGGAACAAACCAAAGAAAATAAGCTGGCTCTTCCTGCACCTCCAGAAAATGGACTCACCTAACCACTGAGGGCCGCCTTCCGCCCATAATCTAGAACTGTGAGATCAGGGAGACCTGCCTCAAGTGTGGAGAAGTAAAACCCTGCCTTGAGAACAACGGAGCTGCCCCCAGCAGGGGGCACTGCTGACCTCTCCCAGAGGAGACTGAACTCAATTGTGGGAACAAAAGCCAGACCTGGGCGTGGATTAAGGAGGGAACCGGAATTGACAAGCAATAATTAAGAATATGTGTTTTAGCTTCAGGCCTAGTTTGAGATGAGACTTGGTTCAATATACTCTTCTACTTATTTACCCCTTTACTTATGCCCTTCCTGCTCTGGTACAAGGCACACTAGATTAGGAGTCAAAACTCGTGGTCTTGCTGCCAGCTAGATGTCTGACCTAAGGCATCCAGTGAACCCTTTTCTGCCTCCGTTTTCTTATCTCTCAAATAAGGAGGATGCACTAGTGATGTGCAATAAAATAAACAGCTCTAAAACTCTTGATTTTTATGACTAGAACAAACAAGCCCATCTTTGGTGCCACTGCCAAGCCGAAGTTCCATTTCAGACTTCTAACAGAAATGTTTCTAATGGGCTACAGATTGACAATGATCTCACACACAGTGGGAACCATATTCAGATCCCAATTTAATAGTCAATGTCTTCTGGTAGGAAACATCAGAAGCAACTATCTCAACCCAGTCCTCTGGTTCCCAGAAGCCCCAGTAGGGGTACACATGGAGTAGCCTCACCAGATCTAGAGAGCTTCACTCTGATTCTCTCACTGCCTTTTAACTCCAGCCTGCATCGTCACTGCACACAAAGAATACACATGCCTGTTTAGGAGAACACTTAGCAATCGTGGGTTCTTCACGTTCTTGAACCAAACTCAGCATTAGCAAGCATCACCCAGGAGGACGGAGCGTAGTCAATGCCTTTGTGCTCATTCTAAACTGGGCCCAAAAACCCGACCATAAATTCATTTCCCTGAAAAAGTATTCTATGGTCTGAATGGCTCATGAACCTGTGTCCATGAGCGTTAGGGCTGCTTACGTGCTATTAATTGTTAATGAAAATCGCAGGCTCACCCTCCAGCCCAGCCTGCCCTGCCTCGATTCTCTCCTTCCTTCCATCCCCAACTCTTCCCCCTCTCTCTTTCTCACTTTTAGTGCTGGTCCATCGAGGTCTCTCTGCAGCTCCTCCACCAGGGCCACGGCCTCCTCACCATTCCCGGGGCGGTGGATCTGCACCCAGGTCCGAATCTCCCCCGGCAGGATGCTCAGGAACTGCTCCAGCACCAGCAGCTCCAGGATCTGGGCCTTGGTGCGCGCTTCTGGCCTCAGCCACCGGCGACAGAGCTCCCGCAGCCGGTTCAGCGCCTCCTGGGGTCCAGATGTCTCGTGGTACCGTAACTGTCTAAAGTGCAGGTGGGAGGTCTCCCAAACAGAGGAGCTGCTCCCTTGGAAGCTGGTTCCCCATTTCCAGGTGTCATCCTTCCCTTTAACAAGGCCCTCTTGTCTCAGAGCACTGGGGGCCCAGTTTTCTCTTGTCATTGTCTTCCTGCAAGAAAGCCTCCCCTCCAGACCCTTCAATCCTTGCTTGACTTCTTTAGAGCTTGGAGTGCATCATCTATGAGACCTCAAAAAATAATTGTTAAAGTTAACTCGATGAAACAACCAAGTTTTCCAGACCCCAGTCAGCCCCCGGCTGTGAAGAGAACATCCCCAAAGGCAAGGTTCTCAGCCTTTGACAGAAGGCCCTACCCAAGGTTCTGGGGACACTGACACAGGACGACCAGACCACACCTTTTAATGTTTAGTCCCGGTACCTCCTCCACCTAAATACAATGTATCCTTTACCTAGTACTCCAACCACGGGCATCCTGGCTGGTCCCATGTGATGCTGCACAAGTTACCTCATCCCGGAGTCTCAGTTTCTTAACCTGCAAAACAGGAATGACAACAGTTCCTACCTTATGGACTTGTTGTAAGAATTTGATGTCCCAGTGCATTTTAAGTTTCTGAACACTGAGTGGTATATGGATTCAAATGTTAGTTATCCCTCTGTGACTCTCGTTCTTTCCTATGTTCTATAGCGTCAACAAGGAATCATGGTGTTACTCCTGTACTCCTGATAGAGATGAGATAAAATCCTAACGCTTCAATTAACAAAGAAAGGATGGATTGAGATCTGTGTAATTTTACTGTACATACTTTAAATTCTCTGGAAGTTGTTCGTTGTGTTAATCGAAATATTTGGACAACTCTGAATAAGATTTTATTGTACAAAATTTAGGCTTGTTGCTCTCTAGAATCTTCTGCCTCTTTTTTAGAAATAACACTTAAGTTCCTTATTACAAAACAGAAAGTTTCTAAAACCAGAAAACATATACAAGCCCAGAGAATAAGCCCCGCTGTGGTCGGGACTACGCTCCTCCGGTCCTTGCCACCTGCACCAATTTGGATCACAAGACTGGGCACAGCTGCACCGCTCTGTAACTCACTTGTCACACATAATACTGAACACTCATCATCATTTTTAAGAGCGTATGAGCCCATTCATACTTAAGGAGTCCCCTGTTGTTATGTTTTTAGATTATTTATAATTTTCCCCTTTTATAAATTAGGACACAATGATTGTCCTTACTAATACATTTTTGTTACATAATCTGTTTACTTCTTCAGGAAAAATGCCCAGAAAAAAAATTCGTTAGGCCAAAAAAGGTACAGATAGTTTTAAACTTTTAAAATTGTAAGGATTACATCACTATCAGTGACATATGAAAAGACCCTCATTAGTTTTATTTAACACGCAGACCCTTAAGGTTCATGCTTACAGCTAAGTGAAGGATGCAGAACTGTGAACACAATTTTGATAGATGTGTAAGCATAATTAATAGGAGGACACACGGCATGGAAGGAATTTATGAAGGTGATAATTGGACTTTCAAGGGGGAAATGGTAAGACCACTGGAGTATTAGGAAAGCCATTCCAGGAAGAAAGAAACTATAATTTCAAAAGCAAGGGAGTAGAGCACATGCAGCTGTGTGAGAAGTGTGCCTTGCACACCAGAGAAGGGCGGTAAACTTTGGAGGTTACGTGGCAGGAGCGGAGTGGAGAGATGAACGAAAGTCAAATTCTGAAGACGGCTGAGAGGCAGAACAAGAAGGCGATCGCGTGCTGTAGTGACAAGCACCAGTAAAGAGGCTTTATGTTTTTTTGGTGTTATTTTTTTGAAAATAGGCAATATTTTGATTTGGTTCAAAATTTAAAATGATAAAATGCACATTGTGTAAAGTTTCCCTCTACTTATTAGTTTCTTTTGTGTCTTTCCAGCTACATATGTATCAACATATCCAAGTGGGTACGGATAACCGTTTTGTATTTCTCCTTTTTCACAGATGACAGAACACCATGAGTCATGTACTGCATCTTCCTTTTCTCAATTAACAATGTATCTCATTGGTCCTCCTTGTCGGGTACAGAGCTCTTCCCTCTTTTTATGAATGCATTTAACCATCTCCAACACTGATCCATAAAATAAACAGTTCATAAACTGGACTTCATTAAAACAAAAAACTTCTGGTCCATAAAAGGCAATGTCAAGAAAATGAGAAAAAAAGCCCACGGGCAGGAAAAAATACTTGCAAAAGACATTCATATCTGATAAAAGACTATTATACTTTGTCTATTTCACAGAAAGAACTCTTAAAACTCAGTAGTATGAAAACAAACAACTCAATTAAAAAATGGCCCTAAGAACTTAACATACACCTTATCAAAGAGAATACAGATTCAAAACAATTGCATGAAAATAGGTTCCACATCATATGTCATCGGGGAAATGCAAATGAAGCAACAATGAGATGCCACCACACACCTACTGGAACGGCCAAACCCAGAACACTGACAGCCCCAAACGCAGGTGAGCCCGTGGGGCAACAGGGACTCTCACTAGGCGCTGGTGGGAATGAGAACCGGTGCAGCTGCTTTAAAAGAGAATTTGGTAGTTTCTCACAAAGCTAAACATGCTCTCAACACATTATCTAGCAAGGATGTGCCCCTTGGCATTTACTCAAAGGAGCTGAAAACAAACGTCCACACAGCAACCTGCACACAGATGTTCACAGTAGCTTTATTTGTAATTGCCAACACCTTCTGATGCTGACCCAGATGTCCTTCTGTAGGTGACTAAACTATGGCAAATTCAGACAATGGGATATTATTCAGCACTAAAAAGAAACGAGGTATTGAGCCATGAAAAGACATGGAGGAAACTTGAATGTGTAATACTAGGTACAGAAGCCAACTGAAGAGACTGCATATTATACAAGTCCAACTATATGGCATTCTCAAAAGGCAAAACCATGAGGGGCAGGGGCAAGGAGGGATGAGTAGGCAGAGCACCCAGGACTTTTAGAGCCGTGAAACTGTTCTGTATGATACTACAGACTGGGCAAAATTAGGTTTGCAGTTGTTCGCATGGAAAATAATACAATGATTTAAAAACTCTGCATTTCATGCACTCACAACTATAAACATACTTTTGCTGCACCCTTTATATGGTGGACGTGTGTCATGTATTTATCAAAACCCACAGAGTGCACAACAAAAAGAGTGACCCCTAATGCCACCTGTGGACTCCGGATAATAGCAATGTGTTAATGCACCGCCTGCTGGGGGGATGCTAACGTGGAAGAGGCCACAAACGAGCGGGGACAGGAGTGCAGGGGAATGCTCTGTATTTTCCGGGCAACTCGCCTGTGAACCTCAAACTTCTCTAAAAGACTAAGGTCTATTAAAATAAACACATGCACATACATACACACATTTAACCTGGGAAAATGGGTTTCTAAGTAACGTTCCACAGTAAATTATCTGAACTCCATTTACTCTTACTTTGCAAATACCTAGACACACATTGTGCCTGCTTCTCCCAGGAGGTTTCTGAGTCACAAGTTAAAAAGAACAAAAGGAGGTTCCAGGGAGCTTAGTGATTCCCTGGAGGCCACTCAACTAATTAAGCTTCCTGAGCAAGTTCTGACTGAACTCAGGATCTCTAATTCCAAGTCCAAAACAATGCCATCTAAGGAGACTTCTAACACCCAAACAACTATTTGAAAGCAATGGTTTCCAAAGACAGTTCATTATCAAAACTTAATGTGGCAAGCTGTAAAACGAAAATCAAACAGTAATTGTATATACACAGTCACGGGTTGGTTGGCAACGTCCTTTCTTACAAAGCACAGCACTTATTCTGAGTTTTAGGGTTTTAGGACTTAGTGTTAAAATGCATTTTCTTAAGTCACGGTAATCCAGGTAGTCTAAGTTTGTGTTTTAAATACCATTATATGACAAAAGTAAAAGATGGGACTTGGCTCATCCCTCAAGATGGGGGAAGAAGTCCCCAGGAGTCCGGGAGCCACTGCTCCAGGGGTGCTCGTGGGCATCAGCCTCCGAGAAGAGGAAGAGCAGGAGGGCCTCGGCTAGGGACCCTGGCTACCGAAGTTTCCCTTCTCACAGGACAGTTCCCGCGGTGGCTCGAGCGCAGGTCCAGACCTGGGCTAACAAGTGCCGTCTTCAATACTGTCCCCGAGCCGGCAGCAGCCTGAGCCGGCAGCAGCCTAAGCCGAGGCCACGGCATCCGCCTGCACACGGAGCTCAACACAGACAGTGCCGGTGGACCACGAAGGGGAGGAGGGCCCAGCGAGGACTGCGCCCCAGTGAGCCCCAGCCCACACCCCGGGGACGCCCTCCGCGCATGCCCACCCGGCTCGACCCCTCCCCACTCACGCGGAGCTCCCGCTGCGGCTCCAGGTTGTGCGACCGTCGCCTAGGCGCCAGGACGCTGGGAAATGACTCGAGATCCGGAGGTGACAGCAGCGAAGACTCAGAATAATGGAGGAGCTACGGGTACCTCGACTTCCGGCCTCGCACCGCACCCACCCTGCCCATCCCCTGCTCTCTAGGAAGCCACATCTCTATGGTTCCTTGCCTTCCGCTGGAGGAGACTCGGAACGCTACAGCTCTTGGGCCCTCAGGTCTTGGTTCATCCTAGCGAATGAGTGGGGGGACTGCTGGGTTGGGGACACGAAGGATGCAGAGATGAACTATATGGCTCTTGTCCTCAGGAGGCTTGCTGCTTCCGGAAGCAGCCGGACCTTTCTGATTTATCTTTCATTTGAATTGAGGTTGTTTGGGATTAATATCTCATATTGGCCTCTGGGCACCTTTTCTCATCTATTCTTGAACCTATGGCAGTTCTTACTGTAAATAATAACATGGCTTATAAATAGCCACTTTGCGAATATGCTTACTTGTTGGTGTACCTCTCGCTCACACGATGAGATAGTGACCCACTTGATCTCTGAGAAGCTAGACCAACACAAGCCTGTCTTTGTGGTTCTCCTGTTCAATTTTGTCTCATCTTGGCGGGCGGGAAGTTGGCCTTCCAAAATGGAGAGGGAAAAATGATACCAGGTCCTCTGTCATAGATCAGTGACACACAGTTTGCATTAAAAACGGCCCTGGTAGAGCGGGGTTTCAGAGAAAGATGAGAAGCACAACCTTAACATCCAGATTGGGATTTCCGCATTAGTTCATCGGGGTTCTAATGTCTTAGCCCCATCGAGAACTGTCAGCCCTCTGCCTCCAGCCTCTTCTCAAATTCCTGTCTCTGCGATGTTTGTGCGTTCACACCAAGCTGAAAGGAACTGTTTCCTCTGATAAGACCCTGTGGAAAATGCCCACAACAAAGAACAAATCTCAGTCACCCCCAAAGGGCATTTATTGGGTTGACACACCCCTGAACCTACCTGGTGTACTTACCGGGTTTCCGGGGAGACAGAACCAGTGGGGGACAGATGCAGGGATTGGCCCACATGATTCCAGAGGCTGAGGGCTCCCAGGATCTTCGGTCGGCAAGCTTCAGACCCGGAGAGCCCACGGTATAGCCCCAGTCCAAGTCTGAAGGCCTCAGAAGACCTGATGGTGAAAATCCCACACTGAGTCCAAAAGCAGGGAAAGACCGGGCAGGCAGAAAGAGAACAAATCCTTCTTCTGAATTTTTGTTCTCTCCGGGTGTCCAACAGACTGGATGAGGCCACCCCCATGGGAAGGGCAACCTCCTTTACTCAGCCTGCCGATTCGGACGTCGACCCTGACCAGAAACACCCTCAGAGACACACCCGGATAACCAGATATCTGGGCATATAACGGTCCAGCTGACCTGTAAAATTAACCATCGAACCCGGATTTCTCCACATACAGTTTAGAGTCTTAGAGCAGTTCATCTAGGCCGTGAAGGGCAGCAGTGGTGGATAGATTCTGGTCGGTGTCACTTAAAAGGACCCAGATTTGGATGTCCATCTTGGAGATTTCCCTCCCCTGCCTACCACCCTCTTTATATCCTCAGTGAATGAAGGAACTCATGATAAAGGAAAAGTTGAAAAACGGGACAGGCCGCCTGAGAAAAGCCAGACTGTTTCAATCCTAATTGCATTACGATCACCACAGAGGACATGTTGCCACGCTCTCTGGACACCCCTAGGCTTATCCCCTTTGAAGGGCAATCTTCCGTAACTTACTGGAGGGGCAGCTGAAAGCCCTGCATTGTCTGCCCCCTCCGGGAACTAGCTTAGCTCCAGTCAGCTGGAGAAAGTCTGCCTCACCGAGATCTCACTTCCCTTCAGGGCGCTGCGGCAGAGCTTGCATTCAGGGGCTGCCCAGTGAAGGAGGCCCAGACTTCTCAAGTGTGGGCAATTTCGAAAGGTAATCCCTTCCTAACCAAGTCTGAAGCCAACAAAGGCCACATGGGTAACCCTCGGACCGCAACACAGCCAATTTCTCCCACTACTAACCCCGCTTCCTTCCTTCTCTACAAGTGTTAATCCCAGTAACACCCCAGCAAATTTGCTGCATGTTTTCATGTCTGAGTTTACTTCCCATGAAGCTTAACAATAAATAATTAGGTAACTCCATTTGAAAGGTTGTATTCATTTTTAAATGATTCCCATGTGTACTTGGAAATGTACTTACCTAACTAATTTCATGTTGCTTTCACTGGGGTGTAGCCCTATAAACATCTGGGCCTCTTACGGAGATCTCAGTGCCAGTGCTCCACCTCTTCCTTCTAAGCTCAGACCCTGCCCTTGCAGCTGATGAAATCTAAGTCCCTTGGACCAAGGCCACCAAACTGCTTTATGTCACCCAAGGCATCACCAACCAGTTCCCTTTCTGACTTTCACTTCATTTTAGCCTCTGATGATTTATGTCACTTTGTTAAAATTCCTCTTAAAGGATGCTTAAGTTTCATCCAGTATTTCAGGTTGTTTTGTAGCCAAAAGGCTTTATGATGATCTGACTTACCATACTGTCCTATTGTATCTTTGAAAAACATCAGTCTCTGCTCAATTCTGTGGTTAAACCAACACTGCAAACGTGACAGCATTTTCTTTCAGATTCTGCAGGCTGGTTACTAATTTGTTGTGACTACAAACTTTGGTATATGTCTCAATAATTTTGTGACCCACAGGTTCTTCTAGGAAAAATGGATAATTATTACAAAAACAGTCATGTAAGGAGACAAAGAATTTTTTCTCCATCCCCACTGTGCAAATTCTGTTTTATAGATTCGTAGGCCCTGCTCCAGATACGCTGACTTGGTGGTCCTGGGGAAGTTTACCTGAACGAATGACATTACGCCGGCCTTAGTTTCAGAGGCTGGTCACGGCTTTTGCATGTCCGCAATCTGTACAGTCAAACTGTGCCACGGGCACTTGGCATGGTCAGTGGGAGGAGAGGACCGGTCAGGTCCTGCGCCAATGTGGCCAGAGGGAGTCGGCCGTCTCCTTTCTTACCCTTCACACACCTGCCTTCTGAAGCCGAAATGGACTTTTTGGGGAACACAGCAGGTTTTATACAGTCAACCGAAATCTATGCGATAGTGAGGCCAGAGAGGAGGTGGGACAAGTGGCCGGACAAGTCCTCAAAGGAACTCAGGACAGACACTGTCTAAGGGCTGGAGGGCTCTTGTTTGTACTACGAGTATGAAAATAACAAGCTTCATTTGTATTTGAGTCAGAAACAAGCCAGATCACTTCTTCATTCCAGAAACAGCTGCTTAGAAAAGCTAAATGAATTGTTTTCTTCCCACTCTGAATAAAGGAAGGAAGCAAAAAGAAAAAAAATCAGTGATATTTAAACAAGTAAATAACAGCAGATATTTATTGGTAGAATTACAACTATCCCCTGCAAAAAACAGTTTTATAACATCGAAGGTGATTAAAGAGGTTCTAGTTTCTAAAAACAATCTAACAATATGAGGTACTTATTTATGTTCAATAGAAAAAAATCAACAAAGGACATCTGTCTGAGGTTACAGAGCTGAAATGAAACTTAGTCTTAGGGATTTCGACTCAACAGAATTACCCAGCGATTTAAAGCTCCTTTTGGTTTCAACTTTCTTCTCTGCTCCTAGTAAGACCTAACACAGTACACACCACAAAGAAAAGTATCTCTATGCCTAGGGAGACACTCTCCTCTCTCTGCAAGATTCTGTCTTCCATATGTATGTTTAATCAAGGCTATATAAAATGAGACTTTGTTTCACATTTTTTTCTCTCAACTAAAAAAAAGACACATGTACTTCTATTCCACACAAGAGCAATTCTGCACAACCAGGATGTCTGTGGCTAAAATAAACTATGCCTTTTCATATTCCTCAGGAATACTCAGGGCACTAAAAGCACAAGTGAATAAACGTGTGTGCCCGGGAAGCCAGTAGAGGACAAGAACAGGGATGAGTAATACACAGTCGCTTCATGATGCCCGTTTCAGAAAAGCCAGCTTTTGATGGAGAATAGAGAAGAAATGACAGTAATGGGTTGAGGAAGATGAAAACTAACAACTGAGGGACTGCAGGCGAAATGCTGCTATTAGGGAACTACCAGGTTTCCCCTGGAGCAGGAAGCTGAAAAAAAAAAAAAAAACATTCAAAGAGACAGACCCTGAATCCCAGGGGGCATCCTGAATAGGCTTGAAAGGAAGGAAAGAACTGTGAACTCTGGCTGCCTGAAGTAAGCAGCTGGTAGTCTTGGTACACTCTAGAGGAAGGTGAGTGTTCAGTTCAAGTTATACAGCAGGATATTTACCTAAAACGGTACAGGGACCACCTACAAACTGTACTCCTGCAGCTCATGGCAGGTGTCAGCCTGGGAGATGGGTGAAGGCCTCCTCAGAGGCCCACTAACTTAGTTTGCCGGGGGAAGAATTGAGAAGATTTGTGTTCCGATCTCTGGGTCTGGGATGACATGGCACCTTCCTAGAGGTGTTTACTCTCAAAGGTGGCAAAGTCTTTCAAGATAAAAGAGAAAGCCTATTTGAAGGAAGACTTCCAGACACTATGACACAGTGATGGGAAAATGGCTCGTTCAGAGAATACCGGCTCAGAAATACAGGATCAACATTTCTGCATCAACATCTCTGCTCAGCGATAGTAAGTGCTCACAAGATAAGCCCTGACGGGCACATGGAGAGCTGACTGCCTGTGTCCTTGGAGCGGTGTGGGCAGGCTGGTCGGCATTGGGCACAGCGAGCTTCCACACAGGTGACCAGCAGGTGTGGGCGGCTGCCATGACAAAAGGCATGGGATACAAACTGTGAAAGGAACCGTGACGAGGGCAAAATGATGGGAGTGCCCTTTGCTGTTCTGTTCAGCCACGGCCACGTGTGGACTCCCCCAGCCTCAGGCCCACCCAGACTGTTGGGGAAGGCGCTACATGAGGCAACCAACGATTCCGCCCTATCTCCCGAATGCAGCAACCTGTTCCAGAGCCTCCCAACTTTGCTTTGAACAACTATGTAACGAGGGACTATTACATCATAAAATGACATGTAAGTCAGCATCCTACGAAAATAGAACAAAACCAGACAATCCTTTTTTACACGAATATACCCTTCATATTTCACTTTCTTCCTTCCAGTAACAGCAAGGTAAATATATACATAATCCCTAAAACTAAATTATAAGGTGCAGAAATAGGCCATAAACCTAACTCAGAAAAGACTGATAGCACCTTATGAAACCATGATAAAGGAATTGTGCAGATACACCCAACTTTCATAGAAATGGCCACTCAGAAGAATCCCAACTGGTCTCCCACTCACGATACAACCACCATGGTGGGCTGAGGCACTTTGGTAGAGAAAGCAAGGATTTGAAAGTCAGATCTGAGTTCAAATTCTGCTCCAACCACTTATTAGCCAGTCACCTAACCTCGCTGAGACTCAATTCTCTTGTACAAATGTTATGAGGATTATATGAGATAACACATCCTCAACAGTTCCAGAAACGATAAACTATGAACATAAGACAAATGGCATTAGGCTTAGGAACTCACTGTGTAGAAAGAAAGAGGGATGGCTGAGTTAAGTATGCAGAGATTCTAAGTGTACCAAGAGGGATTTTGAACTAAGCACTTAAAAATGTGCAAGGCTGATTGAAAATGGTCTAAGGCCTTCTTGGAGGGCTGAACACACAGAAAGCCAGTGGAAGCTAGTGAGCACCTACAGTACTGACCACCAAGCATCCCTCCCTTCTTCCAGCATCCTTCCCTTCTTCTCAGTGGTAAACGGAGAAAAGAAGCAGGTAACAAAGTCTCAGCTCCTTTCCCCACTCCCCAAGTTTGAAGGAGTTGTGGGCGGAGCTTGAAGCAGTAGCCACCATCTTGCAGCCATGAAGTGGCCCAATGTGAAATCCAACATGCTGAAAATTATGGAGTTGAGATGGAAGTTTGATAAACTGCTGAGGTGCCAATCAAAATTTGGAATGGCTTACCTCTAGACTTCCCCTTAACTAAACAATGTTCTTAAGGTCTAAGCTGCTAGTACTTGGCATCGTGTTCATTACACCTGAAAACACCCTCAATGTTACCTTAGGAAAACCTTTCTGGAATCACTCTTGCTAAGTGCTTAGAATACTGTCCCAACGTCCTACACTTAAGCAATTATTATTCGCCATGTGCCGGGCCGCCACCCATTACATGCGTTAGTATCTCATTTAATCCTCACAACAACCCTGTGAGGTCGGTAGTTATTCCCTTTTTACAGACACATCTGAGGCTAAGAGCAGTTAGTGGCTTGTCCAAAACTGACAAGCTGGTGTGTCAATTTTGGATGAGAACACGTGTCTCTCTGACCCCAAAGGCCATACTTTCAGCTGCTAAGCTCTACATAACACATGAAGGCGGTCTTCCTCTAGTGTGAGGTTCTACTGACTGTATCTTTTTAAAGGCTAGGAACGAACCTGCAGTTATTTCAATTCCATAGAACACATTTTTGCCGCTTTGGTAGACATCTATGGAAAAGACGGAGCCCGGGCAGGTGTCTGTTACCTGCAGACCCCTGGACAGCTGTGGGAAAGGAGGGCGTTTAAGTGTCCACTGTATGCTTCTAACCTAACAAGGAGGTGGATACACATTTTGTTGACCACCCTAAAGTCAGCTGTCCTTAAAGCTGTAAAAGGACCAAGGACTGCTGTTTCTGCTTTTACTGAACACGAAGCAGGCTCTCAAAGGAAGTGGCTTGCTCTCGGCTGCACTGCCACCAGAAGCCAGCAGGAGGGTGCAATCCCAAGACACCGGAGTCTGTGTTCTATGCACCTTCCCCAACACTGTGTAGTGAAAATGAGTGCGTACTCGCTGCACTTAAAAAATACTGGACTTTCCCCCCTAAGTATAAAAAAATACATCTCATTGTAGAAAAATCTAAAATACATAGAAAAGTATAAAGAAGAAAATAGAAACACCTATGACCCTATCACCCAGAGATAATCACTGGTAACACTGTGGTGTGATACCCCTTCTTTCCCATTTTGTCCAAAAAAAGCATACATGTTTTTTTTTCTATTTGGATCATACTTCATTGTTTTTCCTTTCTTTTATCTCCCATTTTATCTAAATCATTTCCCCTGTGGAATTAAACATTCTTTAAGAATCTTTAGAGTGACTGCAGAACATTAATTTAAAGCCTGTGCTATTGAAAACCTAGTTTTCTTCCTTTAATTATACCCTCACTGGCATGAATCTCTCATGTATTAATCCATCTGATTCTGATTACTTTCCCTGTATGGATTCTTAGAAATATAGTTAAGGTTGATGAAACTGAAAACCTGCTTTTCTGAAAAGTACCGGTTAGTCCTCCTACCAACAATATTTGTTATTTATGAGGTTTCTTTCTCCTCAGAATGCTTTCTCTGGTGTTGGATTAGCTGTGAGCTGTAACGATACGCTTTCCCACACTCGCTGCATTTGTAGGGTTTCTCCTTAGTGTGGGTTCTCAGATGCAGGATGACTTGGGAGGTCTGTCTGAAGGTCTTTCCACACTCGTTACATCTATAGGGCTTCTCTCCAGTGTGGACTCTCTGATGGTCAATAAGGTTTCGATTAGAAGTAAAAGCTTTCCCACACTCGTTGCATTTGTAAGGCTTCTCTCTACGATGAAGTCTCTGGTGTTCGTTCAGGGTCTTCCTTAAGATGAAAGCTTTTCCACACTCATCGCACTCATAAGGCTTCTCCCCTGTGTGAGTTCTCTGATGGTCCATAATCTTTGTATTAGACACACACGTTTTCCCACACTCCTTACATTTGTAAACTTTTTTTCCTTTGTGCATTCTCTGATGTTGAGTAAGGTTTGAGCTACGGCTAAAGGCTTTCCCACACTGGATACAAGTGTATGGCTTCTCCCCAGTGTGAACTCTGTGATGTGAAATGAGACCTGAACTCCGACTAAAGGCTTTCCCACACTCCTTACATTCATAAGTTTTCTCCCCGCTGTGGATCCCCTGGTGCCGAATGAGGTGCGACTTACCACTGAAAGACTTCCCACATTCACTGCACGTGTAGGGCTTCAGCCCAGTGTGGATTCGCCGATGAACGACAAGGTTGGAGCTGTGGCTGAAGGCTTTTCCACACTCCTTGCACTCATAGGGCTTCTCTCCTGTGTGGGTTCGCTCATGCACTGTAAGGTTTGCGCTCTGCCCGAAGGCCCTCCCACACTCGGCACAGACGTGCTGTCTCTTTCCAGCCTGAACCCTCTTGTCTGTTGCAGGGCCAGAGCACTGACTACCATCTTTTCCAGATTCTTGGTCATTCACTCCTGGGAGTATCTTATTGTCTTTAACTGTCTTATGTTTGAAGCTTCTTGTCTTTCTCCTCATTTTCTCTTGTATGGAACATCCCAGTGGCCTTTTGAGTCTTCTTTCCCTTTCTGGATTTTGACTTCCTTGGCAACACCTCAGTGGAGTTCTCTTGAAAGTAGAGATTCTGATGTTTCAGAAATGACACTTTGGAATCAATGCCTCCTCAGTGCCAGTTTCACTGTCTGACAGAACAAACAGAAAATTATACATGTCACCTGTTCTCCATATTAGCGGAAGGAGACTTACCCAAGGATAATAAGGTGTGGTAGACCACAGGGTCTCACATGGAAGAGGAAATGTCTGAAGGCAGGGGGAACTGATCAAACAAGATGAGAAATGAGGTCAAAGAGGCCAAGGTAAAGCCTCATGGACCAACAGGTCCAGCATCAGAATGAGCAGTGGTAGGATACAATCCACCCTGCTTCCCTCCTGCCTCATGATCCACCCCCAAAACTGGAGCCATCTAGTCCCTGGAAAAAAAATGAACGGAAAGATCCTTAATTCGGTAACTCAAAGGACTCATTTTCAGATCATTTTGGCTTTTCGTTCTTATTGACCTATTCCCCTAGTACCAGTAATACAGTGGCTGGCACAAAATAGTTGCCAGAGAAATGTTTTATAGAATAGCAACTGGGGTTATGCCTCAGGGTATGCCTAAGATTTCCTTTTTTGTTCTGGTCGGGGTAGCAGGCCCCTGTCTACACTGTTCTTAGGCTCTGTCTGAATAAGGGGTAACACAGTTCTTGTAATATTGGAGGCTGATCACATTGTAGCCTGCTCTGCAGGTGCTGGTCCGTTGCTGGGTCCAGCTCTGTGTGCTGGTTCAGTCTGTCAGCTTTGCCCCAAGCTGTCACCCTGACGGACTGAGTTGAAGCACAGCAGGGGAAACTGTGATAACGCCTCTGTGCATGGCATGATGATAATGTTTCTGAAGGTGGCAAAAGGGTGAGAGTAGGGGACAACAAAACCAAGAGGGGCTGATCACGAAACTTATGTCAGGAATGAACAGGAATTTCCCTACAGGGTTTAAAAAGTTGTACTGAATTTATTGGGGTGACATTGGTTAATAAAATTATGTAGGTTTTAGGCGTACAACAATATAATACATCATCTGTATACCGTATTGTGTGTTCACCACCCTAAGTCTTCTTCCATCACCATTTACCTGCCCTTTTACCCCTTCTACCTCCCTACGCGTCTGATGTGGAACTCTAGACATAAACGTAAACAACCCTGGCAGAGCCACAACTCCCTGAGACTGATGGGTACGTGTTCTGATCTCAGGACCACCATTCATTTCAGGCTATAAAGAACCCACAATGGGCTGAGTGCTACTGAGACGCACACATGCACCCACACACACACACTTACCTATGGAGGTTGTATTCCTTTAATTTGCCAGGATCACCCTCCTGTTCAGGTCCCTCTGAGCAGTGGTCACATGGTTCTTGGCTACTGATTCACTGCAATGGAGTGAAGAATAAAAGATAAGACTTAACAATAAATTCCAGAGAGACAGATGATAAATGTAAAAACTGAAAGGAAGGAAATGAAAGGAAGGAAAGAAATGTCAGGGGACCACTGGCTCTCAGGGAAAGGCCTGAGCCTTAAGCATAAAACCAAGGCTGACACTGACAGCAGACTGCGGGGTCTGACCACATAAAGATGTCTGCACCTCAGAACCCCCTGTAACAAGCCTGTAATGAAAACCAGAGTTGCCTTATTCTAGAACTCCTTGTGTGTCTGTGCCACTTTTCAATATTCCTATGTGGATCCCACCAAGTGCCTGGCACAAAGAGGGCTCCATGTGTGCCGTGTGACTTGGAATGTGAGATCAAACAAGCACAGAATTCTATCTAATTCTGTCTGGGTGTAGGAGCAGGGAGCTGTGCATCCTCCAAACATACCCCCCCCACCACCATCCTTCCTCCACCTGGTTCATCCCTTTTGTGCTTCACATTGTTTGAACCCCATGACAGTGTATTTGCTTTCTTGGCAATTCTGTCTCAATGGGGCTACTGAAGGGGCTAAATTCCCTAAGAGACTGACCTATCCAACCACTCGGAGATTGTCAGAATGTCAGAGCTGGCAGGATCTCCCTGGCCACTAGTCCTATCAAAATGTAGAGATGGGGAAACTAGAACTTAGAGGGGAGCTGGGACCCAAGTCCAAGTCTGCTGACAGATTTGAGTTCTGCACATCACCCTTCCTCTCATTCCAAAACTCTACTCAAGGTCCACAGCAGCCCCACTCCATCCCGCCCCTCTCTCTCTTCTAGATAAACAGCCATCCAGAGATGCTCCCTTTCAGCCCTGCTCCCCATATTCTCTAGCAAACAGGACTCCTGTTCATAGAGTAACTGATTTCACAGGATAGGTGTCCCCTGCCCAGGAGGGAAGGGAGTCGCTCACTCCCTCCTGTGCACAGCAGCCTCCCTCCACAGGATCTGCCCAGCTCAGATCTTGCCTGGTCTCTTCCTTGGGTTTGGTGAGGAAGTCCCTGATGGGGTCTGGAATCACTGTAAACAGAGACTGTGCACTCCAAGTGAACACTCAGGGCAGTGTCCCCTCCCTGGGTAACTCCCCTTTCTGTTGAACTGGGAACCGTAAGGATGATCATTTCTACTGATATTTAAAAAATGAGGAAATGAAGCTCCCAGAGGTTGAATGACTTGCCCAAGGGCGCATGACTAGTGAGAGAGAAGCCTCCTGTGTCCGAGGGAAATATTCATTCCCTCGCATCAGAGTCACTCCCTGTCACCTCTTCTGGCAATATCTAAAAGTCTCCACATGCTCCTCTACCTGCAAAGTGCACTCCAACTGAGAAGTTCTCTGCACTTGAGCCTTCCAACAAAAGTTTGCAGAAGGGAGATGAGAGAGGGTGACTCTTTGCTGAATCAAGTGTCTTTAGAGAGACAGGAAAAGTAAGACTTTAAAAGTATGTCAGGAGAACTTTTAAAAATAGCTACCCACGTCTTAGCACCACTAGGACTCCACATATTTTGTCTTTCGGGCTCCAGATTCCCAGACACTGCTTCTAAACCTCCAGGCTTGTTCCGTTTCTCCCCCACCAGAACGCAGCTCTGCCTCATACACATTAAAACCCAGGACCCAACACTGCCTAAGTAGGTGATCAGTATTTGTTGAACGAACGAACGAACGAATGAATGAATGAGTAACCTTGGACAAGACTGCCTTCTTCGCTGGGTCCGTCTCCTCACTGGAACTCAGCCAGGATTGGACGGGTGACTTAAATAAAACATTTAAGTGTTGTAGGGTCCTTTGAGGGCCTGGGCTGGACTTCCACCGCTATTACCAGGGCGGCCCTCTGGCTAGGGGCGGGGACGACACAGTTCTGTCACCACCATCAGCCCGGTCGGGCAGCCTCGCCTATTGGGATACGAAGCCCACAACAAAAGGGCAGGGCCAAACAAAGTAGGGGGAGACCAATAACGCCGCCTTGAGCTGCTGCACCCCGCCTCCGCAGTGGGCAGCGGCGGAGCAGGGCTGGCTCCCGGCCTGTGACCCCCACCCATTCCCAGACACCCCGCCCAGACCCCCACGCCAGCCTGCCACATACCCCTCACCGAAAGAGCCTGACCCACATCTTGGAACAAAGCGCAGAAGGAATTACGTCATCGACACCCACTAACTCACATCCCAACCCTCTGGCCCTTCTAGGCATCGGGAGGTTTCTGCATCTCTGTACCCGGGAGGTGGGAGTCCTTTAGCCCCTTTGCTAGCCAGGCTGGTAAGCCGGCATTCTGGTCCCACCCCCTGGCCCAAGTTTGCCCTACCATTGGCTGGGATGACGAAAGGGCTCAGAGTGTTTAGCCAATATATGGAGGGTCCTGGAAGGGGTGGAGCCTCAGAGATGAGCAGGTGGGCTAGCCGCGGCCAGCGTGCCTGCACGGCTGAGCACTGAGATTCCCGACTGTCACACCGCCAACTCTGGCTGCTGAACGGAAAAGCCATCTTTCCTTATACAGATCCCGCGCCTTTCAGTCTCAAAGCTAGGATCAGCAGCATATAAAAGTAACTTTTGGGTGCCCACATGTCACTTTTCCAGGCTCTGCGGATCCAGCAGGGAAGAAAATGAACTCGCTGATCCACGAAGCTCTCCTTCAAGTCAGGGGAGACAATAATGAATAAATAGTAGGACGTGGTAGAAAGGGGAGAAAGAGAGGGATGGCGGTGGGACTGTTTCACAGATGACAGGAAATGAGCGACTGAGGCGTGGAGGCACCTGGGGGAAAAGCGTTCTGGAAGGTGGGAACATTAGGAAGTAAAGGCCTTAAATCAGGAGCCAGAGAAGACCCACATTTCGGACCATACAGCTTTTGGGTGTTTCCCAAATAAAGGGTTTGTGGCAGAGGACTGACATGATCTTACCTTTTTTTTCCTGCTACATGTTCAAAGATTTATTAGCCATCAGATATGAAAGGAGTCAAGAGATCTGTTCCTATAAATTGTTAATTTCTTGCTCTCAGTCCTTAGTCATTCTGCCATAAACCTTGCATGAAAGTTTTACCCCACGGGATAACATTTAAAATATTTTCTCTGGCTGCTCTGTTGAGAAGCAATCTAAAAATTGGCAAGAGTGGAAGTAGAAAAAATTAAGAGGCTACTGCAGTATTTCAGATAAGAAATGATAGTGGCTTAGATGAGCTTAGAAATGACAGAGTGCAGGTGATGCAGAATGGTTCTGCGTGTACTTTTAAGGTATGGCCAGCATGATTTGCTAATGAACTTGATGTTGGTTAAGGGTGACTGCATGGTTATTGATCAGAGCAACTAGAACAAGATTTGTCTTTAGGAAAGAGAGTAGACTGAAAGAATGAGTTTAGAAAGAGGGATCAATAGTTCTGTTTTGGAT